TTTTCCTGTTCCATGTTCAAATAAACCATTTTCAGTGGTACCGCTGAGAAAGAGTCATGTTTTTGGTCATGGAAAATTAGGCAAAGGTCATGGAGAAGTCATGGAGAAGTCATTGGTGAAAAAGTGTATGAACCCTGGTGTACTCTTCCCTAACTGATTCATTTTTTTGTCTTTGATACTGTATGTGTTGTTTAAGAAAAACTAAATATATAATAATCTCAGTATAGCTCTGAAACATTAGCACTTCTCATAAAACCATTGCATTATTATTTGTTGTTGCAGAGGCCCGTCTGGAGAAGAATCTGGTGGCCACCTTCCTGTTGGTGCTGAAGCATTTCCTGCAGAGACACCTTATCAACCAGGAGAATCTGCTGCACTCGCATGGAGTCGGTACAGTGGGAGCGCTGCTGCAGAAGGTCGGTTTCATTTCCAAATGTTGGCACGTCGGGGTTACATTTTAGAGAGTGGCTTAGCTTGACCCTGGTGGTGGTGAATGGATAGCTGGGGTCGGTCTGAAGGGGAGGGGCTTAGCTTGACCCTGGTGGTGGTGAATGGATAGTTGGGTTCGGTCTGAAGGGGAGGGGCTTAGCTTGACCCTGGTGGTGGTGAATAGATAGTTGGGTTCGGTCTGAAGGGGAGTGGCTTAGCTTGACCCTGGTGGTGGTGAATGGATAGTTGGGTTCGGTCTGAAGGGGAGGGGCTTAGCTTGACCCTGGTGGTGGTGAATGGATAGTTGGGTTCGGTCTGAAGGGGAGTGGCTTAGCTTGACCCTGGTGGTGGTGAATGGATAGTTGGGTTCGGTCTGAAGGGGAGGGGCTTAGCTTGACCCTGGTGGTGGTGAATGGATAGTTGGGTTCGGTCTGAAGTGGAGTGGCTTAGCTTGACCCTGGTGGTGGTGAATGGATGGTTGGGTTCGGTCTGAAGGGGAGGGGCTTAGCTTGACCCTGGTGGTGGTGAATGGATGGTTGGGTTCGGTCTGAAGGGGAGGGGCTTAGCTTGACCCTGGTGGTGGTGAATGGATAGTTGGGTTCGGTCTGAAGGGGAGGGGCTTAGCTTGACCCTGGACTCAGAGGGACAGGAGGTGAAATGGGGTGGAGGAGGGTTGCGTCGAGTCACCTGAAATGACAGCTGTCAGAGGGGAGAGCAGATTTAAAAAGGGTTAGCGGCGCGCTATGATAGGCTTGGGAGAATAGAGCGAAGTGATTGGTTAAGCTGGGGAGTGACGCCCCCGATCACTTATTGAGAGGAGAGAGAGAGTAGTAACATGGAAATAGTGAATGAATGAGTAAAGACGGTCTTCCTGGTTGAACTTGCGCTGATCTTCATTTGTCCCTTAAAATATGTCTAAAAAGGAAAAAATACACATTTTCTTGACAGCAAACCAGTTTTAAATACAAATATGAAATGCTTATAATGATTACTTGTTAACCACAGAAGACAGTATACTCCAGAAACCTAAACCCAATGCATACCTGCACATTTGTGCCCTTAAAACAATGCAAGCTAGTTTTAAAAAGCATTTAAAAGCATTTTCCCCCGTTAAAGTGCATTTCACATTTTGCCTCAGATCTCCACACGCAGAACAGAAACACGCCTCTTGTTTTTATACAAATGTTGGTTGTATGAATAGCTCCTCTAGTGAAATGAATTGACCTCAGATACCCTCTGTCTCTGTTTGTCTTTTCCTCAACTCTCTTTCTTCCCTGTTGCATGTGCCTCAGTATTTGTTTATCCCAGCTGAGGAAATACTTCTGAATCAGCATTGACATCATGACAATATCAAAGAGTCCACAGACACTCTGATTAAAAGAAAGGCACTCAGTAATACAGTAGCTGCTCTGAGAAAGTAACCGCACCCTGGGAAGAGTGAAAGTGCAAATAAACCACTAATGTGTGTCTCCTCACTCCAATGGGATTTCTATCTGATTTTGTTGCGTGCAAAATGTGGACGAGAAGGTTATAAGTGACCGAGTAAAGGCACTTATCTGTGTTTTAATCATTCTGTATGTGTGCCAGTGAAGTTATTTGTTTTTGTGTGTGTGTGTGTGTGTGTGTGTGTGTGTGTGTGTTCAGTTGCCAGCAGGTCACGTGGATGTCAGCGTTCTGGTTGCCATGCAGCTGCTGATCGAACAGGTGACGTTTGAGAAGAACCACGCTCTGCTGCTGCAACTTCACACACACCTGCTGTTCAACTTCAACATCTGGAACAAAGGAGACTTCCCTCTGCGCATAGGTTAGATCTGTGTGTGTGCGTGCGTGCGTGCGTGCGTGCGTGCGTGCGTGTGTGCGTGTGTGCGTGTGTGCGTGCGTGCGAGTAAAATGACTAGCTATTGTATTTAGCCATGCATGATATGGATGTCATAATGACCTGTTTCTCATGGCAGGAACTGATAAAATAGCCAGTTATTTTTGTATTTTAAAGAAGGTTATAACTCATATTCATGCCCACCTGAGGAGTAGTATATTCAATAGGCTTCATCCGTTCATTTCCTGGCCATTATAAACAGTTTATCCCTGATTCCTTTAACTGATCGATGGAAACAGTATGCAGAAATCAAGGTGAAAAGGCGTCATTTATTCAGACATACTTTAGAAGACTTATTTCTTGTAATTCTGTTTGGTATTTCCCCTGAATTTTTCTGTAAGTAAGTCTGTTCTTCCTCAGGGCTGGGTGTGTGTGAGACAGAAAGAGTGTGTGTGTGTTTCCAGCTCTAACTTGTCCTCCTTTGTTTCTATGAAGGTCATATCCAGTACATGTCCACCGTCATCAAAGACAACAGGAAGCTGTTCAGAAAGAAATATGGAGTTCAGTTTCTTTTGGACACCATACGCCTTTATTACGGGTGAGACTCCACTCCTTAAAGTCCACACCTGTCCAACATATTGAAGTATTGTCTCTTTACCAATAATATGCTCTCTGTACTTCAGGAAGAACAGCCATAAGGACGGTGACCTGAGTGAGGATGACATTCGAACCATCCGGGCGTCTCTCTGCGGACTCATCAAGTATTACATCAGCAAGGGCATGTCTCAGGAGGAGATGCACAGCATTCTGGGATACATCGCCGCCATTGGAGACGAGGACCAGGTAAAGCAGGGGTGTCAAACTCAATTTGTACGTTTTCTCGTCGGCTTTCATACAAGATGCAGGGCTCCAAAAACTGTGGCTTTGACCTCCTGATGCAGGGGGGTCAAACTCAATTTCATCGCGGGCCACATCAGCATTATAGTTGCACTCAAAGGGCCGGTTGTATCTTTAAAGGTCCCCTATTACACTTCAGAGACATGTTTGTATATATCTGAGACCTATAATATATTGATGAAAAACAGTATAATAGGGGACCTTTAAACACTCCAATAGGACTTTATATTGATCCTCCTGGACACTAGATACTTTCTCTACACTCTGGGGCTTCTACTCTTACTGAAGTACACAATCTGAGTACTTCTACTCTTACTGAAGTACACGATCTGAGTACTTCTACTCTTACTGAAGTATAATATCTGACGTGTTGTGTTGCAGTTGTGTGGGATGCTGGAGTTGTTGCTCAGCCTCCTTCAGACGAGTCCGGCCAGAGATCAGATCTTTCTTCTTCTCTTCGAGCCGTCGGAGGCCGACTCCTGCTACGCTCTGCTGCTCAACAACAAGCACTCAGACCGACTCCGAGAACTCGTCTTCAAGGTGAGTTACGGCCACAGATCCGTGTATCCATCATTTCCTGGTCTTCTCTAAAGAAGAGGGACCAATGAAAACGTTGTCATGTTGCCGTTGTTCAGCATGGAAACATTCATTAGCTAACAATGACATTATTGTTCTATTAATATAAAGGGAGGTCAGGTACTCTTTAAAACAGCTGCTAGTTATGGGTACTTTTTACTGAAGTACATTTCAGAGTTCTTTACTTTTACTTGAGCAAAGAGTCAGTACTTCTACTTTCACCAGAGTATGTTTAAACACGAGTATCTGTACTTGTACTTGAGTAAAGGATGTGTGTACTTTTGCCATCTCTGAGTAACTACTGTACTGGTTTTAATGATATGCTGGTTTATTGTTACTCCTCACAGTTGTTTGAGCGCATGTTGCGCTGCGACCGTGTCTATGAGAAGAATAAGCAGCGTCTGCGTCTGAGAGAGGCGGGATACTCCGGCCTGTCGCTGCTCTTCTCTGAACTTCACATCACTCCGACCCTGATCCGCTGTCTCCTCAACCAGGTCCTCCACACAGGTCCGCTGCTCTCTGTTTTTATTTAAACATCACAAGAACACACAGAAAAAATGCCATGTTTACGTACGTAATGTGTTACATTAATCAAGATACCAAGGTACGATGGTTAGGGGGACTTGGCCTTGATCGTATCAAATGAAGTATATACTAAACACTACACTATTGTAGTAGCAGAGGCATTACAGGTGTCCATCTCTTTAAAAATGTTGATTTGTGAAGGCATAAGTGACATATTTTAACAGCAATTTTCATGTAAACATCACAAGAACACTTGTAAAAAATACCATGTTTACGTACTTTTTGTGTTACATTAATCAAGATACCTAGGTATGATGGTTAGGGGGACTTGGCCTTGATCGTATCAAATGAAGTATATACTAGTATCTTTCAAACATTTCCCAAATTGGGATCAATAAAGTACTTCTTATCTTATCTTATTTTACTAAACACCACATTATTGTAGTATCAGAAGCATTACAGGCGTCCATCAAGGTGAAAGTGACATATATTTGAACAGCAATTTTCCAAAAACGTGGTTAAAAAGTCCAGCACAAAAACAGCAAAAACTTTAACCTGATTTTGTGCAAAAAATGTAAAAAGGATTATGAGATGTAGACGCTTTACCGTCTTTCCAGCTGTCTGCTCTCCTGCTATATTAATCTCCCCTTGAATATAATGCATTAAAGCTCTTACTCAGTTTTATTTTCATCCCACCAGTTTGTTCTATATATATTTAGGTGCAATAAGCCGTCCTGCAGATCAATGAGCTCAGGCTTTCTGTCTCCTGCCTATAGTAGTACATCACACAGACAGTAGCACATGTAATCAATACCATGCACGGTTGAATAAATGTGATATTGTGTCTTAAATGTACAGATGCTGTGGTGAACTATAAGGACATGATGGCTCTGGTGCAGCTCACTCATCGAGCCGGACCTGGTGTACGCCTGCTCGTCTGCAAGAGGGTGAGGAAACACACAGTAGAATATAAATGAAATGGTGCTAGTAATTCAGACGAAGTGTTATATATATATATATATATATATGTCAAATAAAATACGCTAAATGTTGCAGAGAATGTTGTAAGTGACCACGTAAATGTTTGTTTATTCACATTTTTGGTGCACCTAAATGAAGAAGTGAGACTCACCAGTGCATTCCCTGGAGGCTATAGAGAGGCCCTCCCTTTCCGGTGGACCCCCATGGGACCTTATTTCGGAAAAATTATGTATTTAAGTCAATGGCGAGAGAAAGATTATCTCTCGATCCCGTTTGAATTGTGCCACGAATTACACATATGATGTTTGTCAATTTAAAAGATAATTTTGCAAGTCAAAAAAATAAAATGTGTGGTAAAACTGTGAAGTAACACTTATTTTGTGTGAAACCGCTCAATGAACTCCATCTCCCGTCTCGCACCACACACCCAGACGGCCGTCACGTTGGCACATTTCACTTCTTTCTTTCAGAATGAGGTGGAAAGTATTAAAAGAGGTGAAAATCACTCCAAGTCTGGGCATGTTGAGAGCTGTTCATACACACAAGGGGAGTTAGTCGGTTCCTAAGAGCCAGCATGCGGGACCGGGGATTCTGGGATTTGTAGTCTTTCTAGTTGCGTATTTTTCATAGTCTTATATTTCAACAGTTTTACGACAAACTGTGACTTTTTTGACATGGAAATTATTATTTAAGATTGACAAACATCATACGTGTAATTCGTGGCACAATTCAAACGGGACCCAAAGATAATCTTTTCTCTCTCCATTGACTTCAATACATCATTTTTCCGAAATAAGGTCCCATGGGTCGGAAGTAGATGGGCGGGACTATATTTGTTAATTTGCATGTATCAATGAAAACATTGGATAATAAATGATGCCGCGTTATGTCTCGTCATGTCGTGCATCAGTCAGGTTTTATTAACTTCACTTGTTCTCCCTGTCTACTATCCGCAGGTTTACCAACTGCTTCAATCCCAACAAGATGCCGCCGTGCAGATTTCTCGTCAGCAGTGTTGGCAGGACACCCTCATGCGCCTCTACCTTCGGGGGGAAGGATCTTTTCCTCTTCGTGGCTCGGACACAATCAGCACCTGCAGTCTGGATCTCAATCGATCGGGAGGCACAAATCGTCTGGATGTTCCTCATGAAAGGAGGTCGAGAACGGGCAGCCGCTTGGAGGACGACCGAATCAGCGTGGGAGAAACTCGCTCTGTGGACAGCCTGGAAAACGGAGACGCCATTTCTCTTCTGGACACACCTTCTTCTTCTGCCTCCACCTCCACAAAGCCTTGGGTGTTGGGGAAGTCGGGGGGTTTGATGCTGGATCTGTCCCATCTTCAGTCCTTCGAAGGAGGGGACAGCGGCAGCCAAACGCCCGGCAGCGCTCAGAGCACACCGTCACCTCTGGAGACATCCAAACCTTTTCCAGGGAGCACCGGGGATAGAGATAGAGATGCAACACCCTCGCTGACTGAAGACAGCTTCCTGTTCAGTGACAACATCTCACTGGGCGAGTCCTTCAACAACGCTGAGGTGAGAGGAGGCTGAGACGATGAAAGAGGACAGAGTTTTGTTGTTTTTTGACCTGATTGGGTGCAGTTTGGGTCGATGTTTGATAAGTAAAATAACAAAGGCAATTTGGTTCTTGGTGCCCCCCCCCCCTAGCGAGCGGAGGAGGAGCTGTGCAGCATGCTGCTGGAGATCGTGCTCTGCGTGATGTGGCGAGGTGTCGAAGGGTCAGATGATTCAGCGTGGATCGAGCGCGGACAGGTGTTCTCTGCTCTCACCAAACTGGCAACCGCCAACGATCTGCTGCTTCCTGTCGACCAGATCAAACTCAGGTCAGACATTAACACTGACAAACTACTGCCTAATAAATCCGACTTATTGCAGACAAGCGACAATTAAGAAAACAGAAATAGGATTTTTGTGTTGGCATCAAACAGGAAATGGCTGAGAAGAATCAGAATCTATTATTTATACATAGAGACAGAAGAAATAGAACACTATTACTGTATATTAAATGCTGTGAAGTCCACTGAAACCCTGCCCTCTTCCTCAATCAATCAATCAATCAATCAATAGAACACGATAACTGTATATTAAACGCTGTGAAGTCCACTGAAACCCTGCCCTCTTCCTCAATCAATCAATCAATCAATAGAACACTATAACTGTATTTTAAACGCTGTGAAGTCCACTGAAACCCTGCCCTCTTCCTCAATCAATCAATCAATCAATAGAACACGATAACTGTATATTAAACGCTGTGAAGTCCACTGAAACCCTGCCCTCTTCCTCAATCAATCAATCAATCAATAGAACACTATTACTGTATATTAAACGCTGTGAAGTCCACTGAAACCCTGCCCTCTTCCTCAATCAATCAATCAATCAATAGAACACTATAACTGTATTTTAAACGCTGTGAAGTCCACTGAAACCCTCCTCTCTCCTCCAGTCTGATGGAGCGCATGTTGGAGTGGTCGGTGTGTGATAACCGCGAGGCGTCGGCCTCCTCGCTGCCGCAGCACACGGAGAACGCGGTGCGCTTGCTGCACATGGTTCAGGACTTCCTGCAGGCCGAGGGTCTGGTGAATCCGGCGCTGTGGACGGAGAAAGTTCTGGAGGAGACGGTGACGCTTATGGACAGCTTGATGGTTTGGTACGCCTCCGGATCGCAGTGGTTCCAACTCTCCCAGGTGGGACTCCGGCTGCTGCTGGGCTTCATGGCGCAGGAGGATCCAGAGGTGAGATGTTTTCCCATTCTTACACATTATTTTTAATGCAATGAATAATAATGTGGACGTAAATTCCCCCAAAAAGTTTTATTCAGCTTTTCACATGTATACAATTATAGAATTAGGTAGATCAGCGGTTTTAAAGTGTGAGGCGCGCGTCCCTTGGGGGGCGCCAGAGAGCTTCAGGGGAGGTGCAGCGGGAGAAAAAAAAAGCGCTATAGGCTTGTGAGAATAGAGCGAAGTGATTGGTTGAGCTGGGGAGTGACGCCCCCGATCACTTATTGAGAGGAGAGAGAGTAGTAACATGGAAATAGTAGACGGTCTTCCTGGTTGAACTTGCGCTGAGCTTCATTTCCCATTACCCTCTGCCCCAGGTGTGTGCCATGGCGACGGCGAAGCTGAACGGCATCCTGCAGACGAAGGAGGTGTCGAGTCAGGACGAGGCGTGCTACCTGCTGGGGAAGGTGGAGGGGATCCTGCGGCGCTCCATCCAGGAGGAGCAGGCGGAGGAGACGTACTCCTTCCTGGTTCCTCTGCTGAGGACGCTGCTCTCCAAAGTCCACCGCCTCCTCTACATGGAGCTGCACCTCCCAAAGCTGCCCGACACCAACGGCAGCCCCTCCTTCTTCGAGGACTTCCAGCTGTACTGCAAATCCCCCGAGTGGCGCGTCTACCTCGACAAATATGTACGAGATTGATATCAAAGTTACCAGATTATATTTGATATGCGCTGGTGTTCGGATCAGGGGGTCACAGGTTCAAACCCCACTGCAGTCAGCATGTCGTTGTGTCCCTGAGACACAGTATTGAGTATGTCAGTCGCTTTGGATAAAAGCGTCTAACAAGTAACATGTGATGTAATGTAATAAAGTACTTCTTATCTCATCAAGAGAAGTTATGGAACAGAGAGTTCTCCTCCATGCATCTATTGGAACATTTAATGGAAATGTTCTCCTTTTGACTCCAGATTATCCCGTACATGAAGCAGTATGAAATCGAGACGTTCAGCCAGGGTCACGAGACGATGGCTCTCTACTGGAAGGAATGCTACGAGGCGTTCATGGTCAGCCTGCACAAGAGGGAGAGGGACAGAGGGGAGAGCAAGATCCGCTTCCAGGTGAGTTGCAATAATACATACTGAAGCCTCTTTCCCTCACACTTTCTGATGCATAAACTCTACCTCTTCTCTGCCTTCAGGAGCATTTCGTGGAGCCTTTCTCCCGCAGAGGCCGCCAGGAGAACCTGCGCTACAACAGCATGTTGAAGCAGCAGCACAGCCAGAACAGCGCCACCCTCAGGCAGTGGAAGGCATCGCGCAGAGGCCTGGTGTGTGAGAGAGGGCCGTGGGCTGACAGGTAACTCACATTTACTCCCATTACCTCACATTAACTCACATTAACTCACATTAACTCACATTAACTCACATTAACTCACATTAACTCACATTATATCACATTAACAACCCACATTATATCATATTAAATCATATTAAATCACATTAACTCACATTAACTCACATTAACAACCCACATTATATCATATTATATCATATTAAATCACATAACTCACATTAACTCACATTAACTCACATTAACTCACATTAACAACCCACATTAACTCACATTAACTCACATGAACTCACATTAACTCACATTATATCATATTATCTCACATTAACTCACATTAACAACCCACATGAACTTACATTATATCACATTAACTCACATTATATCATATTATCTCACATTAACTCACATTAACAACCCACATTAACCTACATTAACTCACATTAACTCACATTAACTCACATTAACTCACATTATATCATATTAACTCACATTATATCACATTAACTCACATTAACAACTCGCATTAACCTACATTAACTCACATTAACTCACATTATATCACATTAACTCACAATAACTCGCATGAACTCACATTAACTTCTTGTATTTTCCCATTTAATACTTTCTACTGTGAGGCACATCAACATGTCAATATGAGCATGTCAACTTTAATTTATAATGTGTATATGTATATAAATACACACATTAACGCCCATAATTCTATACATTCATACACGTTTATACACACGTACACAAATATATACGCACCTTTCCAGCGCAAACACAAAAGAAACATTTATTCATACAAGTCTATGTACAGATTCAATAATTTCTCGTCCTATTTTTAATATAACTATTACTGAATGAGATATAGATAATGGCTGGCTTTGAGAGTATTACAAACATGTTTTTGTAACCTTTGTTCCAACAGGCAGCAGGACGAGATGCACTGGAGAGTTTCCAGCGCGGAGAACTTCTCCAGAATGAGACTGAAGCTGGTTCGTAATTACAACTTCGACCCGCACCGAGAGGCCAGCGCTCTCAGAGACAACCTGGGTAAGAAAACACGTCTTTTTGGTGGGTGTGTAGAGTATGGTAAAGTTGGGTTATGATGAGGGATAAGTGTGTCGATACAGCCTGTCCTTAAAAGGGCCATATTAGGCTTTATAAGTTGCAGAGTCAGGACTTTAGGAGATCATTACGTCTCTTTCACTTTTAATTTGTTAGTAAGCTAGTTTAAAACTGTATATGGAAGTTGATGGAAGTGTTATGGTCATGTCCGGTACGTTTTTGTACTTTCTAAGCCCTTAACAAGCATGTTAAGAAGCACATTTTCCGACAGTGCCATGTGATATTAACCTCTGCATCATCGCTGGATACCTCCTCTCAGAGTTTAATGATCTCCCGTCTCCTTCTCCTCTCAGGCGTCCATCAGCAGCGAGTGAACCCAGACTCTCTGCTGCTGGAGGCGGTGAAGCAGGTGAAGGTGAGCGACCTGGAGGACGACATCCTGGATCTACCTGAGGACGACCCGTCTGCCGCCAACAACCAGTGAGTCTAATAACATCATAACAGATCAACGAGATGATGTAATACAGAGTTTTTCAATCTGTTTTTGAGCATGATAGATGGATAGATAGATAGATGGATGGATGGATAGATAGATAGATGGATAGATGGATGGATAGATAGATAGATAGATGGATAGATGGATGGATAGATGATGGATAGATAGATAGATGGATAGATGGATGGATAGATGAATGGATAGATGGATAGATGGATGGATGGATAGATGGATGGATAGATGGATGGATAGATGGATGGATAGATGGATGGATGGATGGATGGATGGATAGATAGATAGATGGATAGATAGATGGATGAATGGATAGATGGATAGATAGATAGATAGATAGATAGATGGATGAATGGATAGATAGATAGATGGATAGATGGATGGATAGATGAATGGATAGATGGATAGATGGATAGATGGATGGATAGATGGATGGATAGATGAATGGATAGATGGATAGATGGATAGATGGATAGATGGATGGATGGATGGATAGATGGATAGATGGATAGATGGATAGATGGATAGATGGATAGATGGATAGATGGATAGATGGATGGATGGATAGATAATTTGAAACAGTACAAAGAAAACAAAAACACATAAACATTACTCCTAATCCAAGTGCGAGTAAAGGGGGGGGGGGTGGGTTGTTGATCCGAGTTTGAAAGCTAGAGTGAAGAAGTGAGTTTTGAGAGATGTTTTGAAGGATTCAAGTTGGCCTTATATACTGTAGAGACTTAATAGATACTGAATCACTGATATAACAGATAGTAAATCAGGACCTCCATGTTGTTTGTCCTGCAGGGTGGAAGCAGAGGAGGCGGGTCAGAAGGAGAAGCTGGTTCTGTGGGAGGATTGTGAGCTGGTGACAGTGGTCGATGTGGTTCCTGGCCGTCTGGAGCTCACCACCCAACACATCTACTTCTACGACAGCAGCCAGGAGAAAGAGGAAGGTGAGGACACGTGTTATTTATTCGGGGTCACATTATATTAAAAGTATGCAGAAAATGGCAAATTAAATACCGAGATTCCTCTTTGTCTTATTCTTTAATGTTGTGAGGGAGAATCTTTTACTAATTCTCTTTCCTCAAGGAGTGGGCCACGACTTCAAATGGCCTCTTTCTCAGATCCGAGAGGTCCATCTGAGGCGATATAACCTCCGCCGCTCGGCTCTGGAGATCTTCCTCATCGACCAGACCAATTACTTCCTGAACTTCAAGAAGGAGGTGAAGAAACGTAGCTTCAACGCTAGAGAATATACCTAGTCCCTCTTGCCTTTTCTTTTGAGTTTTTTTATTTTTGTAACTTATTTTATTTAAGGCAGTAAAAACATTTGTTTATTTGCTTCTTGACAAAAGTTAAGGGTAAAATGTAAGAAGTAGAAAGTACAGGTATTTGTGTTCAACATGTAAGAAGTAGAAAGTACAGGTATTTGTGTTCAACATGTAAGAAGTAGAAAGTACAGGTATTTGGGTTCAACATGTAAGAAATAGAAGTACAGAATTTGTGTTCAACATGTAAGAAGTAGAAAGTACAGGTATTTGTGTTCAACATGTAAGAAGTAGAAAGTACAGGTATTTGTGTTCAACATGTAAGAAGTAGAAAGTACAGGTATTTGTGTTCAACATGTAAGAAGTAGAAAGTACAGGTATTTGTGTTCAACATGTAAGAAGTAGAAAGTACAGGTATTTGTGTTCAACATGTAAGAAGTAGAAAGTACAGGTATTTGGGTTCAACATGTAAGAAGTAGAAAGTACAGGTATTTGGGTTCAACATGTAAGAAGTAGAAAGTACAGGTATTTGGGTTCAACATGTGAGAAGTAGAAAGTACAGGTATTTGGGTTCAACATGTGAGAAGTAGAAAGTACAGGTATTTGTGTTCAACATGTAAGAAGTAGAAAGTACAGGTATTTGTGTTCAACATGTAAGAAGTAGAAAGTACAGGTATTTGTGTTCAACATGTAAGAAGTAGAAAGTACAGGTATTGGGGTTCAACATGTAAGAAGTAGAAAGTACAGGTATTTGTGTTCAAAAAGTCAAAGTAAAAAGTTGTCAGAAAAATAAGTAGTGGAGTAGTACTGATACCAGAAAGATATACTTAAGTACAGTAACAAAGTATTTGTACTCCACTGCTTCCCACCTCTGGTAACTGTTATATTAACACGTTCAGTTTGGACTAGACTCGCTTGGTTCTTCATTCAAAGCTTCTAATACACAACATTTAATACTGCTGTGTTTCTTATCGACAGGTGAGGAATAAGGTCTACAGCCGCATGTTGCTGCTGCGATCGCTCAGTCTCTATGGGACCAGATCACCTCAGGAGCTCCTCAAAGCCTCTGGACTCACACAGGTCAGCAAACTGGAGCTCTTATACACAACATACACTTTAATTAAATACATAGCTGAGTTAAAACCTCTTCTTCTGCACAGAAATGGGTGAACAGGGAGATCTCCAACTTTGACTACTTGATGCAACTCAACACGATCGCAGGCAGAACGTACAACAACCTCGCTCAATATCCAGTGGTACGTTTGTCCTGTGTTTTGACTGAGTGAACGCCAGCAAAAATGTCTGTTTTAAGCGTCTCAAACTGTGTGTGTGTGTGTGTGTGTGTGTGTGTGTGTGTGTGTGTGTGTGTGTGTGTGTGTGTGTGTGTGTGTGTGTGTGTGTGTGTGTGTGTGTGTGTGTGTGTGTGGTGTGTTGTGTGTGTGTGTGTGTGTGTGTGTGTGGTGTGTGTGTGTGTGTGTGTGTGTGTGTGTGTGTGTGTGTGTGTGTGTGTGTGTGTGTGTGTGTGTGTGTGTGTGTGTGTGTGTGTGTGTGTGTGTGTGATGTTTGTGGTGTGTGTGTGTGTGTGTGTGTGTGTGTGTGTGTGTGTGTGTGTGTGTGTGTGTGTGTGTGTGTGTGTGTGTGTGTGTGTGTGTGTGTGTGTGTGTGGTGTTGTGTGTGTGTGTGTGTGTGTGTGTGTGTGTGTGTGTGTGTGTGTGTGTGTGTGTGTGTGTGTGTGTGTGTGTGTGTAGTGTGTGTGTGTGTGTGTGTGTGTGTGTGTGTGTGTCCAGTTCCCCTGGATTCTCGCTGACTACACTTCAGAGGAGCTGGACCTTTCTGATCCTCGATGTTTCCGAGATCTCTCAAAGCCCGTGGCGGCTCTTAACGAACGCAACGCAAAGGCCGTCAGAGAGAAGTACGTTGGTTTGTTTTTACATTTTGAGAAATATTGTGATTGGTTTTGTGCATTCTGTGAAAAAGTGCAGGTTCTGTCCACCTTGTCTTCTTTGCACACAATGACAAAACCTTTAAATGTGTCTTTCAGGTATGAGAGTTTCGAGGATCCAACAGGAACCATCGACAGGTTTCATTACGGCACCCATTACTCCAACGCTGCTGGAGTGATGCACTACCTGATGAGAGTCGAGCCTTTCACCTCTCTGCACATCCAACTGCAGAGCGGACGGTTAGTCGGATATTGATTTTGTAATCAAACCCTTTTCAATACCTTCCCAGGCAAAGCATCAGAATCCAATCTGTGCTAGCATTAGCATCCAACAAGCATTTATGTATTAACTCTGACCATGTAACACATACAGATAATACAAAACACACACACAAAACACTTAGGATATAAACCCGGGAAATATGTAAGTACAAAGTGTACAGGAGCTGTGAACAATTAAATTAACTTGCATTCACTTTGATCAGGGAGCTTGGTTATGCTACATTAAAATAGCGACCGCCATTACACACACACACACACACACACAGCAACCACGAGGCAGTCTCCTACGCGGCATCGAAGACAATAAACAACATCCAAACACCACTTCAAACACTAGGACATTGCGACACAACACATATGCTTAAAATGTAGTTAGACAAAATAGGGCCCCCAAAAAGCTAGAAACGGCCCTGAGTACCAGAGTGTAGGAATACTCAAGTATCTCTATATCGTACTTGAGTAAATGTACTTCTCTCAGGTTCGATTGTGCGGACCGTCAGTTCCACTCGATCCCAGCGACGTGGCAGACGCTCATGGACAACCCCAACGACGTCAAGGAGCTCATCCCGGAGTTCTTCTACTTCCCAGAGTTCCTGGAGAACCAAAATGGTGAGGTTTCAATATCAAATATAGGCTTTTACTGTGGGCGAAATGATTGACCGTTACCATCGAAAATCTGATGTTTTCTGAAGGGAGAGCAAATTAAAAAAGCCTTTGAATGTAGACCTACTTAACAGGAAGTGTTAAATGTGTGATTTGAAGGGATATGCAGGAAAGATATATTTACTTTAGATATGTATCAGCAGATTTAGACTCCTCCACGATCATTAGACCTGCCTTCATTTGCTCCCTGGATTAAAGAGATAATCAGCGACTCTTTACGCAGTGGTTCTCAACTGGTGGGTCGCGACCCAAAAGTGGGTCGCGGACCCGTTTCGAGTGGGTCGCGGATGTGTGAGTGAAGAAAAAAAAGTTGGAAAAATAAATTGGAATTTTTTTTTTTTTTTTTTTGGGGAAAAACTCAAACTTTTATTTTGAAGGCCCGATTTTCTTCTCAGAGTGTACCAGAATGCGTAGTTTATGTTAGTATTTCAAAAAATCTCCTGGGGGAGAATCCCCCCAGACCCCCCTGCTGGGGTTGGGTTTTCAGCATGTGTGCCTTTTTATATAGTTCAGCTTTGATTCCATCATCTCATTAAACCTTTTTTAAAAGCATACTTTAGTTCTGTGAAGGGATATAAGGGATATATGCACTGTACTTCACTTTTATTAATATTGTATGCTCAAAAGCGTATATATTACAGCACGATTTTTTGTTGAATAGATTTGAGTGCTTCAAAATGTTGGGTCGCGATTTATTGACCAAGTAAAAAGTGGGTCCCGAGGCCTGACCAGTTGAGAACCACTGCTTTACAGCATATTTTCTGTACTAACTTCCCTGTTCTTTCCCTCTTTCTCGTCCTTTTGTTCCTGCTGTGGTTCAGGTTTCGATCTGGGTCGCCTGCAGATCTCAAAGGAGAGGGTAAATGACGTTATTCTGCCAAAATGGGCCAAGTCCCCGGAGGATTTCATCTACAAACACCGCAAAGCCCTGGTGAGATCAGCTTTATTTAGTGTGACCTCTTTGTGGCCATTCTTAGTAATTATGTTACAAGAAGACCCTTTTCTTAACATTTGTGCCAGTAATTAGACATACTTTAAAGTAGTATGCCAACTATCTTATTGTTGTGACTTCTATTTCTGGCGTTTAAGTGTTATTGCATTGAGTGGATGACACGAAAAAGGGAACCAAGCACAATGTAATCTTAAATTAAATGACACGCTAGTTTGCGGAACATTTGACCTGATTTTCTTTCGAATTTACATCAATTTCCTCTCTACTTAGTAAGCCCTTAAGCCCCTTACAAGTATTCCCCCGCAGTTTATCACCTTAGGAGCTCTCTTAAGAAGATTTGTGAATAACTTGAGGCTTTACCAAGATCAAGTATTAACTTTAAGACGAAGTTCTAGCAGAAACACTATTTTTTTCACAAATTGAAGCTGATATTTTACCTTAAATATGTCAGATATCAGATCATCAATATACTCACATTTAGTTTGCAGTATTACAATCAGTGTGAACATGTTCTTGTGCTCGTAGTGACTACATTCCTGACCTCAGTGTGTGTTTGTTTTTTGCGACAGGAGTCTGAGTGTGTGTCCGCTCACCTTCACGAGTGGATCGATCTGATCTTTGGTTACAAACAGCGAGGTCCTGCAGCGGTGGAGGCCCTCAACGTCTTCTACTACTGCACGTATGAAGGTGAATCAAACAGAAATCATGCCGTGGTGTTTTCGGTTCCATAAAAGTGCTTGGTTTTCTGATTTAGGGGCTTGAAAATGCTTAAAAACAGTTCCAATATAGAGCATGAAACTGGTGGCCTGCACTGAGTTTATGATAAAAATGTTTATTAAGTTTCCACATTGCTTAACAAAGGTTTACGCTACAACTTAAAATAGTTTGCAGTGATGTTATTTTCACTGCCAGTACGCCTCATACACACTAATATTCACCAGAATGTGATTAAATGAATATACAGTATATATGCAGAGAGTTTATAGCTGCTTAGTTTCAACTAGTGTCCCCTAGTTTGGCTTTTACACGTGCTAAGTATATCAATGATACAGATTTTGATCATAGAACCACAATACAAACCTCTTATTGATGTGTTCGGTGATGCAGGAGCAGTGGATCTCGATGCCATCACGGATGAAAAGGAGCGTAAAGCCGTGGAAGGAATGATCAGCAACTTCGGACAGACACCCTGCCAGTTACTGAAGGTAACAACACACCTGTAAAAGGGAAGCAGGACTTTTTTGACAAGATTTGTAAACCATTGAATCTGTTTGTGGAGCTAGCAGATGAGGAGGATAATTGAATACTGACGAGTGTACGCCTCATAATATCATTATTTTGAATCAGACCATGAAACTGCCTTGGAGACTAGAAATGTCGTTCAATTTTGAAATGTATGTAAGACGTGTCTTTGTATGAAGGGTAGTGTGTTTTGTATTTGTGTTTGCACCTGTACCTCAGTGTCATTTGACCTTGAGAAGTGCACTGTACACTGCATCAGGGTGTCCGCGGGGTCTTAAAAAGCATTAGAAGTTGATAAATGAATTTAGCGAAAATGAAGGCTATTAAAAAGTATTAAAAGGCATTTTCCAAGGTATTATATTTTGTAGCTAGTTTTCAATAAGTATATGAATTGTCCAAAGAGGTTGTATTCTACAGTGTGCCTGAATGTAATCATTGCGTAGGTATGTAGTGTGATTCTGTGTAGATTATTTATGGCATCCCGTTGGATTTGACGTCATCTGAACAGGACATCGCACGCTCACTGCTTGATAGCGCGCGAAGGTCCGTTTACGCCGGTTGTTAAGCAACATCGTTACGGGGAAATGCAAGTCTGCGTCCAAATGGTTGGAAGATAAGGAGGAAGGACAATCAATACTGTATATAGTCAATGTGAGGTAAAGTGTGTCGCCAAGGTAACCGGTTAAAACTCCAAGTGGCGATGAGGTCTTACAATGTATGGAAAGGGTCTTAAAAAAGGTCTTAAAAGGTCTTACACTTCAGGACTCCTGCATATACCCTGTTGTATGAAGGTGTGAGACAGCCATTGCGCGGCAGAGAGTTCAAATATAACCCGGTGTGGGCATTTATTAAATCACAGCCTCAATATGACTGTTACCCGTGAACACAGCCACAAGGATCTCACACTACCTGTCCACTGACAGGGAAAACAGAGCCTAAATACACACACACTAATCAGGCCAATAAGACACAGGTGGGGGGGAACACTTTCAAACTAAACCACATGTGCAATATTACAAGGCCCGAAGCCGTCAGTCCACAGTTACCTTCGTCACTGAAGGGTAGTGTGTTTGTTTTTGCACCTGTCCTTTGACCTTGAGAAGTGCACTTCAGTATGTTTGGAACTGTGCACTGTATACATGTGTTTTTGTGTATAAAATGTTCATAAAAACACACACACGCATGAAATGAAACCCATCACAATATACGCTGCTGAAGTCCTGTATGAGTCTGAGAGATGTTGTATTTGTGCATTAGGAGCCCCATCCGGTGCGTCTGTGTCAGGAGGAAGTGGACAAGAGGAAGTCTCAGATGGACTCGTCTCTTCTCAACATGTTCGAACACCTCAGCGACCTCAAGTCCTTCTTCGTAGAGGTCAGATACTGCTCACAGTTTACTGGTATAAGATAAGATAAGATCAAAGTCAACTTTATTGTATATATATATTGTTATATATAAGATATGTATATCCTATATATACACAATCAACAGACACATTTATACACATGCACACATTAAGATAAAAGCACAAAAAGTCAATAAAATATGATATGTACAAGAACAGAATATGAAATTAAATAATGTAAATTAAGACCAAATTAAATACGGTGTTGTATCGCTGCTTGTGACCGCAGTCTGTTGGAGAATACATTGGTACGTTTGAATAACTTTGACTTCCTGTTGCAGGGCATCAGTGACAACGTGCCGATATTAAAAGCCGTGGTGCCGAAGAACCAATCGCATTCCTTCATCACCCAGGGGAGCCCTGACACCATGGTGAGCCGAGTGCTAATGCTAACAGTCTTTATTATAATAATAAGTGTTTTCTACTTCTCCTTTAAACTGTGTTTCTCTCTCCAGGTGACGGTGAGTAAGAACTGTCTGGTGGGGACCCATGGGTGGCTGCCTTACAACAAGAACATCTCCAACTACTTCACCTTCATCAAGGACCCCACCGTGTCCAACGCAAAGTGAGGACGCACACACACACACACACACACACACACACCTCAACATGTCCTTGAGTTTGTGGTGTTGTGATTGGCACATGTTGAGCTACCCCCCCGTTGTAACAATCGATTCCTCTTCCTCTCTCCATCTTCCTCTCTCCATCTTCCTCTCTCCCTCTTCCTCCAGGACGCAGCGCTTCCTCTCCGGACCCTTCGCCCCCGGGCTGGAGGTCACAGCCGGGCTGTTTGTGGTCTCTCACGATGGAAAGCTTCTCTTCAGCGGCGGCCACTGGGACAACAGCCTCCGGGTCACCTCTCTGCTCAGGGGAAAGACTGTCGGACAGCACATCAGACACATGGGTAAACACACACACCCCACACACACCTCAGTGAATAGATTAAGTGGTGTGTCTGTTGTGTAGATGTGTATGTAATGTAGTAATCCCTGGATGTGTATTTGACAGCTTGAGTGTAAAAAAAGGGCTCCCTGGATGTGTATTTGACAGCTTAAGTGTAAAAAAGGGCTCCCTGGATGTGTATTTAGCTTGAGTGTAAAAAAAGGGCTCCCTGGATGTGTATTTGACAGCTTAAGTGTAAAAAAAGGGCTCCCTGGATGTGTATTTGACAGCTTAAGTGTAAAAAAAGGGCTCCCTGGATGTGTATTTGACAGCTTAAGTGTAAAAAAAGGGCTCCCTGGGTGTGTATTTGACAGCTTAAGTGTAAAAAAAGGGCTCCCTGGATGTGTATTTGACAGCTTAAGTGTAAAAAAAGGGCTCCCTGGATGTGTATTTGACAGCTTAAGTGTAAAAAAAGGGCTCCCTGGGTGTGTATTTGACAGCTTGAGTGTAAAAAAAGGGCTCCCTGGATGTGTATTTGACAGCTTAAGTGTAAAAAAAGGGCTCCCTGGATGTGTATTTGACAGCTTAAGTGTAAAATAAGGGCTCCCTGGATGTGTATTTGACAGCTTAAGTGTAAAAAAAGGGCTCCCTGGATGTGTATTTGACAGCTTAAGTGTAAAATAAGGGCTCCCTGGATGTGTATTTGACAGCTTGAGTGTAAAAAAAGGGCTCCCTGGATGTGTATTTGACAGCTTGAGTGTAAAAAAAGGCTCTTTAACTCAGCAGCTCTTCCATAAGTTTTTTACACACACACCTACACACACCTACACACTACACGTCTGTTTTGTAGATGTGTAAGTACTGTAGTAATCCCTGGCTGTGTTCACCTTCCCTACAGACATTGTGACGTGCTTGTCGACAGACCACTGCGGCATCCACCTGATCTCGGGCTCCAGAGACACCACATGCATGGTGTGGCAGGTTCTCCAGCAGGTTAGCACCCCCTTCCCCCTATCCACCATGACACATATCTGCTAATACAACTGATTTGATGTCAGACGAGCAGAAACGTGCTCTCTCTCAGTGTGTTCTGTTTGCTTCCTGTAGGGTGGAGCTCCCGTTGGTCTGAATCCCAAACCGGTGCAGGTGTTGTACGGACACACAGACGAGGGTGCTGAGCGTCAGCATCAGCACGGAGCTGGACATGGCTGTGTCTGGATCAAGGGTAAGAGCCCACACAATAATAATGATGGATACCTGGTATATCCATGTCCACTTTAATTGTCTTCTCCATGATGGTATGTTTGTGTTTTTATCATGTTCTATTGCTGTTACCCTCTTAGAATATGTAACCATTTGTATGGTGTCCTTGGGTGTCATGAAAGGTGCCTTAAATAAAATGTATTATTATTATCCACAACAAATGACAAATGACATTTCAAATGACAAATGACGTTTCCAAAAATACCTATAATTATTATTATTGTATTATTATTGACTAATAAATTAATGTGTGTGTAGAATAGAATACTTTATTGTCATTATACAGGTACAATGAGATGAGTGTGTGTTTTTTAATGTGTGTTTCCAGGATGGCACGGTGATCATCCACACGGTGCGGCGCGGTCAGTACATGCGTTGTCTTCGTCCTCCGTGTGAAAGCTCTCTGCCGCTCTCCATCCTCCACCTGGCCGTGTCCTGGGAGGGTCACCTGCTCGTACACACCTGCATCGAGGGCAAGGCCACGCTCAAGGTGAATCAAATCACACTTTATTCATATAGCTATGTGATTAACATGATGATTCAGCCTCTGTGGCGATAGACATATGACAAGCATGCTCATTTCTGACGTGGAGCTAATCTGAAGTAAACATTGAATACTGCTTTCTATTCCTCCATCTTGTGACTGTGTAACTCCCTCTCTTGGATATCAGCATGTGAAGGACACTGTTCAGGAACTAGTTGATGCTCTGTATGTGATGACTACTTCCATTCTGGAGAGGATCACAGATACATGGATCCTGAGATTGAAGCTCAAGCCGGGGACGAGAGATTATTAACATTTTTAAGTATTCAGAAAAAGTCAGATTTTTGAGAAAAAGTCATGATTTTGAGATTTTGAGAAAAAAGTCAGAATATTGAGAAAAAAGTCAGGATTTTGAGAAAAAAAGTCAGGATTTTCAGAAAAAAACCAACATTTTGAGAAAAAAGTCAAGATTTTCGAAATTTTGAGAAAAAAGTCAGAATTTTTAGATTTTCAGAAAAAACCCAACATTTTGAGAAAAAAGTCAGGATTTTGAGATTTTGAGAAAAAAGTCAGAACTTTGAGATTTTCAGAAAAAACACAACATTTTGAGAAAAAAAGTCAGAATTTTGAGAAAAAAGTCAGGATTTTGAGAAAAAACCCAACATTTTGAGAAAAAACCTCAGCATTTTGTACATGACGGGATGTATGATCACAAGAACCGGTATTCCTCCATCTTGTGACTGTGTAACTCCCTCTCTTGGATATCAGCATGTGAAGGACACTGTTCAGGAACTAGTTGATGCTCTGTATGTGATGACTACTTCCATTCTGGAGAGCATCACAAATACATGGATCCTGATTATTGAACCTCAAGCCAGTGACATTTTTCTAACAAAGTGTTTTATGTCCTCCCCCCAGGATAAGAACGCCCTCCACCTTTACTCTGTGAACGGGAAGCACCTGTGCAGCGAGCCTCTGAAGGAGCAGCTGACTGATATGTGTGTTTCAGGAGAATACGTGGTCATCGGCAGCGAGCAGGGATACCTGACCATCCGGGACCTCTACAGGTAAACCTCCAGACATCTGAGAGCTCATTATGACTGAAAAAAACTGCCTTTTCTTACAAAAAAAACTGAGTTGAACTAGAGCTGAGCAAAAGAAAGTAATACTTTTTTGACAGCACCCGGAGGCTTGTGGACATCCATTGTAGATATTACCAATAAGCTGTTCTTCCTCCCATCAGTCTGTCTCTGTGTTCGGAGCCCATGGCCATGAGGGTGCCGGTGCGTTGTGTTTCGGTGACGAAGGAGCAGAGCCACGTTCTGGTGGGTCTGGAGGACGGGAAGCTGATCATCGTTGGCGTGGGAAAGCCAGCGGAGGTAAAGCACTCGCTGAGGAACTACATCGCTCAGAGTCTGGAGGGGTCTCCTCTCATGGCCTCCCCTCTGATGGCTCCTCTCAGAGCGCGGTCTCCAACCCGTTTACTGCACCAACGCGACCAGCTGGTGTTCAGCCCCACGTCCCATAAACCCCGGCGACTCTAGAACACCCTTTGCTGTAGATCTGACAGATAAAAACCCTCTTCGTCCGTCCACACCTCTCCTTCTCAGGGATGGTTGTCGCCCCCACAGTTCGTTGCCGTTTGGCTTCATTTCCTCCCTCACTTAAAGGTCACCTATTATGCAAAGTCCACATGTCTCTACTACATCAACATGTGTCCCCTCTTCTTCATGTCTCTTCTAAATCAGCATGTGTCCCCTCTGTGTAAAGAGACTCTCTCTTTACACAGAGGGGACACATGTCTCTTCTAAATCAGCATGTGTCCCCTCTTCTTCATGTCTCTTCTTCATCAACATGTGTCCCCTCTGTGGAAAGAGACTCTGAAAGTTTCAGGAACAAAGATTCTCTCTCTTTTTGTCCTGATCCATTTCTATAAAAACCTGTCTGAAAATGAGCTGATCAGATTTTGGCCACTTTATGATGTCATAACGATGTTTTGGCTTGTGTAACCATTAGCCAATCAGTAACCAAGGTAACCCCCCCCTCCTTATCACCTGAATCTCCTCCTAGAGCACCATTGTGTTATTTTTAACCAAATGTCTCTCAGAGGGGCGTGGGGAGGGGCTCCTTATTTTCATCTAAAGTAACAGACAGAGAATCAGCACTTTGGAAACAGGGCTGAAACAGAGGGGATTATGGGTAATGCTGCAATGATCTGTTTGGTGTTCCAGCCAATCAGAGACAGGCTCTGTATATATCTGAGACCTGTGATATATTGATGAAGAAGAGGACAATAGGGGACCTTTAAACACACATTTAGATCTGAGCCACACACAGATTTATCACATTCCTTCAGCGCACGGCTGAGCGGACACGACTGTGACGTACCTCGTTCTGTTGTTTTCAAAGTATTTGGCATCTGTGTGATATTTGGGATGAACTCCCACCACTGCTGTCTACCTGAAGTGTCATTATGTCACGTGTTAGTGTACTCGTCAACAAATATGCTGTGAAACAAACTAATTAATGCTTCTGCAGATGTAAGCCATATTAACAGTAGCCACAGTCTAATAATGCAAACTAGAAACCGTACGCCAAGATAGACTTTAATGTTTTGATAATGTAAATAGTTTTAGTGGATGTTCATCGCACCTCTTCATCCTCTTCATCAAATTGCCTCACCAAAGTGAATCGAGCTTTGATTATTATTTTCTTTAATGCTTCACAAGTCAATCAATGAACTAATCAATCACTCATGAATCACATCCGCCTTTTCCTTTGACTTCACGCTTTTCTTTCCCCACTCTCCCCCCCCACTCTCCTTCATCCCACTCTTCTCAGATGCGCTCGGGCCAGATCACGAGGAAGTTGTGGGGCAGCAAGAAACTCACGCAGATTTCCTCGGGGGAAACGGTGTACAAAACGCAGAACGTCTGACCCTTCCCCTTCCACATTCCTGTCACCTCCATACCCATCAGCAAACAGTCATTCTGTGTGAAGAACTCCCTTCAGTTCCTCCTGTGTTTTACACAAACTCTGCATGTGTGCTTTTTCTGTGATTGAGATTACGGCGCTGGCGCTGTGGTTCAAATCCAGAAGTAGTGCCAGCCTCAGCACCACCTTAACACGACAAACTATCCCCATCCATCGTCCTTTTTACCTGATGTGTCTCCCATCTGCCGGCTGATTGCTCTCCTGTGTGTGTGTGTGTGTGTGTGAGGTGTGTATTCTCTGTCAAAGTATAGTTTAAAGGGGCATTTCTGTCTCTTAGTTTGCCTTAAAGCTGCCACACAGCAGCCTTATGCAGTAACACCATCACTCACAAGACCAAACGCTCTGCCTCTCCTATATATATATATATATATATATATACGTCTGAGTGAGATTGTCTTTTTGTATTCTTTGGGTTTTTCTGTTGGTTTTTAGACAGATGTATGCATGTACCTAACATTTTTTGGACCATTTAGAGATTGAGAAGCAGACACAGTGATGGTGGATTTATTTTACGCTTAGATATGACTGACTTGTTTTGTTCTAGAAACATCTGTCTTTTAATGTTGGCATAGTTTTGTATGTTCTCACTACAGGCAAAACACTACGTCCTTTAAAGCGTGAGGATTTATCCCAGAGAGCCACACAACACTTCATTGAATGTTTTTAAGTTACTTGAATCCATGTTTATTTATAAGTAGTAGTAGCAGTTTTTAAAATCACACCTTGTCTCTTGAATATAGACACCGGTAGGGCATATCTTAAACTTTAAAGACTGTTAAGAGACCTGGAGAAGAAGGAGGGAATCCACAAGGGCTCTATGAGATGTCAGTGTTAGCAGCAATACACCTGTCTTCCTGTAGCTTCTGGAACAATACATGCACCCTAATTCTTTCTCCTGTTCATCATTGCCTCATCCCTTTGTCTTATTATCTCCTTCCTGATCATTGTGAAGTGATTTTTCGGGTCATCGAGGAGGTTTTGCATGCCTTGTTGTTCGAATGTGATTTCTTTGCTGATATTAGAATCACATGAAGCCACAGAATGAAGCTCCTGTGGATGTAATTTATATTTTTGCACCGTGTGTGTGTGTGTGTGTGTGTGTGTGTGTGTGTGTGTGTGTGTGTGTGTGTGTGTGTGTGTGTGTGTGTGTGTGTGTGTGTGTGTGTGTGTGTGTGTGTGTGTGTGTGTGTGTGTGTGTGTGTGTGTGTGTGTGTGTGGTGTGTGTGTGTGTGTGTGTGTGTGTGTGTGTGTGTGTGTGTGTGTGTGTGTGTGTGTGTGTGTGTGTGTGTGTGTGTGTGTGTGTGTGTGTGTGTGTGTGTGTGTGTGTGTGTGTGTGTGTGTGTGTGTGTGTGTGTGTGTGTGTGTGTGTGTGTGTGTGTGTGTGTGTGTGTGTGTCTGACTGTGTGACTGACTGTGTGTGAGACTGTGTGTCTGACTGTGTGAGACTGTGTGTGTGTCTGACTGTGTGAGACTGTGTGTGTGTCTGACTGTGTGAGACTGTGTGTGTGTCTGACTGTGTGAGACTGTGTGTGAGACTGTGTGTGACTGACTGTGTGTCTGTGTGTGTGTGTGTGTGACTGTGTGTCTGACTGTGTGTGTGTCTGACTGTGTGAGACTGACTGTGTGACTGACTGTGTGAGACTGTGAGTGTGAGACTGTGTGTGACTGACTGTGTGAGACTGTGTGAGACTGTGTGTGTGTGTGCCAATGATGCATGTTTATTTTTTTATAGCCAAACTCTGTTGATGTGGTGTTTCTGATTCTGTGGCAGCCCGTGAGTTTTTGGGGTCACAGCGGTTCTTCTTTCTTTTTGTGTCACAGCACCATGGAGACCAATCTGTGTCCTTCTTTTTGAGATGGTCTGTGTTGTTCATCCTCATTTGTCATTCAGACATCAGACCACTGTTTGAGTTGTTCCACGACTGCAACAAACGGAGTGCCTTTATCCCGGTGTGGCATTGACACAGGTTTCTCTCATCACCGAAGCTTATCGTCCCTGACCGTAGTGTAAATCAAAACTAAAGCAGCATTCCAGATGTTAAAACTCCCCCAGTTTCAACGGGAAAACCAAGACTTCAAAAAGTACTATTTTGTGTCTTAGCAGCATTCTCTGTGTCCGTCACCAAATGGATGTGTGTATATCTGTGATTATTTATGAATACAGTATATAATGTACAGCATGATTTTTATTTCAGCGTATTTGAAATGTACTTTTGCACTTTCCAGGTACTAAATTGTAACAAATTTGTTTTAACTTGGCTCCCTAATCTGTATAAACTGCTTTGTATACACAAGTGGAAAATGATCATTAAAGTCTTGTCTAAATTTAAGTGATTTGGATGGTGTTTTTGAAGGATGAAGATAGGTATTAAAAGATATGAAACAGAAGCACTCAGATGTAAAATGCCATGTTTTATTCAACAGATGCAGACGATGGAAACATATTTGTCTGTTAGATTGTTAAAAACGGTTGTTTCTTTGTGGTTTTCATGCAGTGATCTGGTATGAGCAGATGGACGCTCTCTTCAGGTCACAGTCAGCCGCCGTCCACCAGCTCTCATCTGCAGAAAAGGGTAGGGACAGAATAGAAAAACACATATTGGCTGACTCTCTGAGGATATTTCTAAGACTATTTTGTATAAATATGACCTAATATGTGCCTACTAGTATTAACAGTATTTATTTACATTTTCAATTGTGCTAAAGGGACAGAACAAGTTTCCATTAGTGCTTAAGGGCAAAGATTCCCTCATACAAGTTATATTTGATTTTGATCAAACTTTCCTTCTCTGATCCATAATATAACCCTTTTTTGTCGCTGCACTGTAGCCTTCTTTCTTACCTATTTAGTTGTAACACTTACTCAGTCATTGGTCAAATCAAATCAAATCAGGTTTTATTTATATAGCACATTTAAAAGCGATTTTTGGTCGAGCCAAAGTGCTGTACATGTAATAAAAACACATTACTACAAATCACAATAAACGACAATAAATTACAACAGATATATCTTAAAAACAAAATAAAAATAAAACACACGGAAAAGTCAGGAGTCGTGCTCCGCTCTAACTAGAAAGCCAGAGAGAAGAAGTGTGTTTTTAGTTTTGATTTAAAAACCCCTAGGGTCTGGGCCGACCTCACATGGAGGGGCAGAGTGTTCCAGAGCCTAGGGCCAGCTGCTGCGAAGGCTCGGTGCCCTCGGGTTTTGAGCCTGGTCTTGGGCACTACCAGCAGCAGCTGGTCAGCAGACCTTAAAGCTCTGGCTGGGGTGTAGCGCTGGAGCAGTTCAGCTATATAGGCCGGAGCCAGCCCATTTAGGGCTTTAAAAACAAATAAAAGGATTTTAAAATCAATTCTGAACCGAACTGGAAGCCAGTGCAGTGAGGCCAGAATAGGGGTGATGTGGTCACGCTTTTTGTGGCCAGTCAGCAAACGTGCAGCCGCGTTTTGGACTAGCTGTAAGCGTTTGATTGAGGCCTGGTCCATACCCACATACAGAGCATTACAATAGTCCAGTCTCGAGGTTACAAAGGCGTTAATAACCCTTTCCAAGTCATTAAAAGATAAATACGACTTGGTTTTGGCCAATAGTCTTATTTTAAAAAAGCAGGATTTTACTACGGTGCTGACCTGCTTGTCGAATTTAAAAGTGCTAGTGAAGGTCACTCCAAGGTTCATGACCGAGGGGAGGATGTTTTTTTTGATAGAGCCCAGAATATCAACCGGAGAGGCTGGAGGTTGCGGTCCAAAAAAGATGGTGTGTGTAAATATGTGTGTGTGGTGTTCTTACCTATCTTGAACATCTCCACACACACTGGTTTATCAGTGTGGATGTTGGGGTGTCCGGGCATCCAGTCGCTGTAACTCCAGTCCGACCCGTCTACCCATGATGCCTTCTGGTTCTGAGGTGTGCCAAATCAACACACATACAGCTTATTATAATATGCACGCATTAAACTTTGATTAAAACATGTTTTGTAAAGTATTCTGATCTTTTGGCATAGTGTAAATACAGCTTTAACACAATTTAAAAGTCCTGTGTAGGATATTTTAGGGGAAAAAAAGTATTAGAAACATTTGTTTGACTTTCTGGCCTTGTTAAGTGACAGCACAGAAACAGATGGAGTCCACGGGTCAATGTTTCACCAAGGTAAGACTAACACTATCTGTCCTGTTGATAACATATCTGATGATACTCTCCTTGGCCTCCTCCCTGCGTCACAGTACATGGTCATAAAAAAAGTGTGATGTGAGACAGCTTTTCCAAAACATTTATTCTGTATGACTTGCCTTGACCGTGCCTCCTAGCCACGTCAACACTGGGTTGTTTTCACCACCGTTTGTCGAGAGAGAAACCAGGCGTGAATGCAGATCTCCGGTTGTTACAGATGCAAGCTCAGCATTTGGGGCAAGAGATCTGCATTTGGCCTGGAGACACAAGAGTGAGATTTAATTCATGGAGCCAAAAGCAGATTAAAAACTAATGAGGGTGGAGAGAGTACAAAAGCACACAAAATGCAAGAATATTATTAAAACAAAGGCAGTGGATTATTTATACCACATTATCTTATGTGTGTTATATCAAGATTTGATTTACGTAGAATCACAGTTATCACATATAGGATGTAATGTGTCTAACCTGAGCATCTTGGAAGGTCAGCGGTGTGGGATTGAACTCATAACAGTTCCCATTGATGATGTCCCCCTTACATGCCACTGTCTTTGTCTGGAGCTCGGGGGTGGAGTGTTCAGTTTCCTGCCTGAAACCTTCTGGGATCAAAGGTTCGGTTCCCTGTCTGAAACCTTCTGGGATCAAAGGTTCGGTTCCCTGCCTAAAGCCTTCTGGGATGGACATCATAGGTTCGGTTCCCTGCCTAAAGCCTTCTGGCATGGACATCATAGGTTCGGTTCCCTGCCTGAAGCCCTCGTGGACGGACATCATAGATTTCATTTCCTGCCAAGAGCTGTCTGGGACCATATGAATAGGTTCGGTTTCCTGCCTAAAACTATCTGGGATTGACATCATAGATTGAATCTCCTCCCTAAAACTCTCTGGGGCCATTTGAATAGGTTCAGTTCCCTGCCTGAAACCATCTGGGATTGACATCATAGGTTCGGTTCCCTGTCTAAAACCTTCTGGGATTGACATCTTAGATTTAATCTCCTCCCTAAAACTCTCTGGGGCCGTATGAATAGGTTCTGTTGCCTGGCTCAAATCTTCTGGGATTGACATCATGGGTTCGGTTCCCTGTCTGAAACCATCTGGGATTGACATCATAGGTTCGGTTCCCTGTCTGAAACCATCTGGGATGGACCTCATCGATTTAATTTCCTGCCCAAAGCCGTCTGGGACCATATGAATAGGTTCTGTTCCCTGGCTCAAGTCTTCTGGGATTGACATCATAGGTTCGGTTCCCTGTCTAAAACCTTCTGGGATTGACATCATAGGTTCGGTTCCCTGTCTAAAACCTTCTGGGATTGACATCATAGGTTCGGTTCCCTGCCTAAAACCCTCTGGGATGGACATCATAGGTTCAGTTTCCTGCCTAAAGCCCTCATGGATGGACATCATAGATTGAATCTCCTCCCTAAAACTCTCTGGGGCCGTATGAATAGGTTCTGTTCCCTGGCTCAAGTCTTCTGGGATGGACATCATAGGTTCGGTTCCCTGTCTGAAACCATCTGGGATGGACATCATCGGTTCAGTTCCCTGTCTGAAACCATCTGGGATGGACATCATCGGTTCAGTTCCCTGTCTGAAACCTTCTGGGATTGACATCATAGGTTCAGTTCCCTGTCTGAAACCATCTGGGATGGACATCATCGGTTCAGTTCCCTGTCTGAAACCATCTGGGATGGACATCTTAGATTGAATCTCCTGCCCAAAGCCGTCTGGGACCATATGAATAGGTTCGGTTCCCTGCCTAAGACCCTCATGGATGGACCTCATAGATTGAATCTCCTCCCTAAAACTCTCTGGGACCGTATGAATAGGTTCAGTTCCCTGCCTAAAGTCATCTGGAAGAGACATCATGGGTTCAGTTCCCTGCCTAAAGTCATCTGGAAGAGACATCATGGGTTCAGTTCCCTGCCTAAAGTCATCTGGAAGAGACATCATGGGTTCGGTTCCCTGTCTGAAACCATCTGGGAGACGAGGATCAGAGGGTTTCTCCACCCGGACCCAACCAGCACCACCAACGTTCTTCTGGGCTGGAACATCTTCAGGGACTGGAAGACAGAAAACATTTAGATTAAGCAGGTTTGTTTATTGATATGTTATTAAATTGAGGGCAGTTACTTAGTAGTGGAGAATAAATAGTAGTTCAATTGTGTTTATTTCACTTTGTATCTTCCTCACCCTCATTTGCCAGCAGGTGACTTCCCTCCATCTCTCCTAATCCTTTTCCTAGAGGACGGGTGAAAGCTACAGAAAAAATGAAATCCAAAAATGAAAAACTAAAAACCTCTTTAAATTACTTCTAGATTAAGTTGGATTCATACCGTCTCTCCTGTCCACCTTGCTCATGTGTTCTTGCAGCAGACCGGTGTTCAGGTCCACGATGAATCTCCTGGAGGGTTCGGTACCTTGTCTGAAGTCAGAAACTGGTTCACGCATGTCGAAAAGTTCGGTTCCCTGTCGAAAGCCATCAGGAAGCTGGTAGGTTGAAGGTGTCTTCTGCAACCGTCTAGCAAGAGGAAGAGCCTGGAGGCCTGTGAAGGGTAATGTGTACTTTACGGTTAGAGGTTTTAATCTTCACTTTGTAGGATGAGAGGGGTTATTAAAGGGCAGCTAAAGCAAAGGATCTGCATTTATGGAAACCCTACGGAAGAGCATTACCCCTAGATTCCTCCGGGTCCGTCTGCGCCGCGTTACGGCCGCGTTACGGCCGCGTTACAGCTTCGCCGCGGCGTTCGCAAAGATCGCGGCCACTCTAGTCAATGGCTCAGAAGCGTCTCAGAAGCGTCTCAGAAGCGTCCCAGAAGCGTCTCGGCGCTGGGCTCCGCTCAAAATAGGATGCAAGTCTATGTTCGACCCGACGCGAGGCGTTGCAGAGGTGCCGGGCAGGAAGTGGAACGGTCAGAGCATCCGGCCCATCCCCAAAATAAACTAATTTTGCAGACCCTCCTCCGTTGTCTTTCAAGTAGGAGGAGAAATGCCAGCGTTCTCCTCCGGTTTACAGGCACTGTGTAAATTATATATATATAGAATAATTATGATGATGAATGCATTTTTTTACCACTAAAATACAGCAACACATCTTTGATTCATGTCGTTTATAACTGGAATATTACAATTATATTAACTTTGTCTGTACAAAGTAGCCTGTCCAGGAAATATGCCCAAATCAACAAAAACTGCGAGCCGGCAGGCAAGACGCTCCGCTTCTGAAATGCTTCTGAAACGCGCCCGGTAGGGTATGACGCCGGAGGAGGCCGGACCAAAACCGCGGCGCAGCCGTGACGCGACGCAGACGGACCCGGTGGAATCGAGGGGTCAGGGCCACATGAGAAAAAATGTTTGGGATGTGACCAAAAGTGAAATCAAATTGAATTCTGACTTTTTTTCAGAATTCTGAGATTAAAGTCAAAAATGTTATTTATTTATTACATTTATTTATTTATTTACTTATTTATGTATTTATTTACTTAATAAACTTGAGATGTTCACATAGAGCTAGTGATAGTGGTGTTTGAATACCTTAGACTCCCTCCCGTGTTAAACATACTGTATGCGTGCCAGTTGCCAGATAGATACCTGCCCTTTATATCAAACATTAACCAGAAAATATGTAGGCTTTTCAAACGATGTAATAAATCAATAATGGTCAAAGTATAATTTGTCTCTGATGACATTGTAGTTTTAGAGACAAGGCAATAAATTACAAGGACAACAAATGACTGTGATAAAGATCCACTAATCATGAGTAAAGGTCGTAGTCGGTCAAGTACCTAATAACATTTATCAAAAATAAATATTAATACAACATTTTTTTTTATACCACATGTGTCAAACTCAAGGCCCGGGGGCCAAATCAGGCCCGTGGTGGATTTAATTTCGGCCCGCAGGATAATGTTTAATTACTATTAGATCTGGCCCGTCGGTATATTGCACGCACACCTTCACTCCATCCTGAGGGTCTCCTCAGCTCAGAGCCTGAGCCCAAACATTGATGACCTTGCACCCAAGATGAGATGCCAAGTATCTGGCTTGAACTAGCATCACAGAGCAAACTGAGTTTAATGGATGTTTCCTTCTGCACTTTTTCTCTCACGACAACAGAGCATGTTTGGTTTTTTCTTTGAGGGAAATAGTTTTGTTGAAGCTGTTGTTGGCCTGTGGAAAAATGTAATCATAAGAAATGACTCGGGAAAAGTTGCAGATATTAATGTTTCATGTTGCATAGGCAATAATTGAAGCTTTGTTAGTTCCAGGTTTAATATGTGCAATAAGTTCATTTCAATAAGTTTTGCAATAAACATGGAACCAGTCCGGCCCTCGACTAGTACCGACTTTTTTAATTTTGGCCCACTGTGTATTTGAGTTTGACACCCCTGACGTATATCATTCACAGCTCACATATTTATGTATTATTACAATAAGCAGTATTTATTTTTAGCTTATCTTATTCTACTTAACATGTATAGAATTTACTTCTTACACGTTTACTTGCACATTGTTCTCACGCACTATTTTATTTCTATTCTGTTTTTTCTTGCACTATTTTTTCTTGTTTTATTTCTTATATATTTACATGTTGCATTGTTGGAGGAGCCGGGGAGTTAAGATCAATTACATCTTGAATTTACGGTGTGTGATAATACACTCTGGCACACAAATTACAATTTGTTCTACCAAGGTTTTAAACGAGCATTACTAGAAAGAAAGATGAAGGAGTGAGAACTTACCCGACAGCGCCAGGAACAGCAGCACCAACTTGAACATCCTTTGATAACAAAAAAAAACTTTAATGTGCTGCACAACGCTCTATAAGTGAGTGTAACGTATAGAAACTGTTGCAGTGACGGTGTGTGTGTGTGTGTGTGTGTTGCTCACCTGAGACAGCAGTGATGAACTTGGAAACTAATAGGTTACTTGTTCATATATCACTGTCCTGGTCATGAACACCTTGTATGAGATAATGACTGTACCTTGCAGATTGCTGATATTTCATGCACTTTGCCCTCAAGGTTTGAACACAACGTTCTTACAGTATAACATCACCTGATAGCGTTTCGCTTGACGTCTTGTTATATTCCGTTTACCAGGTTTTGTTGTAGTTGAGTCTTTGCTGAATGGGTTTAATTGAGGGTATAGCTCAGTCAATATTTGTGAATGTGGACTGTGGAGGTCACTAAAGGTTGTTTGCTGTACTTTAGACCTGAATGAGTTTCACTAAATGTTTAGAAATGAAATCATGTTACTTGCTTTATCCAGATGTATACTAGAAATGTTAAAGTCCAAGGATACAGCAGGTCATAATCTCTGGCTCCACCTGGTGTATAAGCAGTAACACATACACCTCTGACAAACAAACTCTATAGTATTTAAATAAGAGTTTGTACGGGGAATTATCTGGAAAGATTGTTGAGTAGTTGAAGTTAATGCTTAGGTTTACATTAGCTTCACAACCGGCTCATTTCTTTAGATTATGGTGGTTATAATAAGGTGTGGCTTTATAGATAGTTCATTGGGTGTGCCCCCATACACTGTTTTAAAAAATATATAATAATTAAATGTATTTCAATTACAAATGATGCATTGTTGGTGTAAAACAAATTAATCAAACAGGTCATTGGTTTTGAATTGACTTCTCATTCATAAGGTTTCTTGCCATAGTGATGCAGACGTATTACACAATTGTCTTCTAGTAAACGTGACCTTTGTCTGATATTTTTCTACAGTATCAATCTTTGCCAGGAGAGAGTTTGGAGGTCCAAATGTGGAAGGCTTTGACCTTTATTGAGCAACACTTTTGGGGCAGAGCATTTTCTGTTGCCGACATAATTAAGCACCTAGCAACAGGAACATGGTTTAACTTCCAAAATAAAAGTTATACAAAAACCTTTCTGATGATGCAATACAAAACAGTTATACTAACTTGAGTTACTTCATATTTACTTACTGTATGTACGGCCAGAGGTGGGAGAAGTACTCAGATCTTGTACTTGAGTAAAAGTAGAAGTACTCAGATCTTGTACTTGAGTAAAAGTAGAAGTACTCAGATCTTGAGTAAAAGTAGAAGTACTCAGATCTTGTACTTGAGTAAAAGTAGAAGTACTCAGATCTTGTACTTGAGTAAAAGTAGAAGTACTCAGATCTTGAGTAAAAGTAGAAGTACTCAGGTCTTGTACTTGAGTAAAAGTAGAAGTAATCAGATCTTGTACTTGAGTAAAGGTAGAAGTACTCAGATCTTACTTGAGTAATAGTACCAGTCCAGAGTGTACTCTGTTACAGTAAAAGTCCGGTAATCAAAATGTTACTCAAGTAAAAGTAGAAAAGTACCAAAATTAAAAGTAGTCATTGTGCAGATTGGTGAATTACTCCAGGTTTAACTAAAGTGTGATTTAAGAGTTGAGTATATTTCACAACGTTAATCCAAATCTGCCTTGTTACTAAATGTATGTAATACAAGTAGTGGAGTAAAAGTACAAAGTAGCAAACCATTGAAGTACTCAAGTAAAGTACAAGTATCTCAAAATTGCGTGTGTTACTCTTAATCTAAAGTTTCAACACGTTGGTTGCTAACAATTCTATTTTGAAAGTCCTGACAGGATGTTGTTTTCTCGTGGCTTGGAACGCTCACGTTTTCTGACGTAAATGTTACAAACGTTACGCAACCAACGTGACAGTGACGGGGTGACGTAACGCAGCTAAAACAAGCTACCTTAGCTTAGCTTGTGCCCCCTCGACTGAAGTGGAGTGTTTTCACGGTGTTGTGCATGTCAGACGGGTTTTAAAATGGCTTTAGTGACAGCTCTGAGAAGACTCGTGAGGTTAAGAGAGTTTGCATGGAGGACGGCAGCAGTCACCTCTGGATCCTGGCCGAGGACTCAGAGCTTTTCCTCCGGACACCTCCTCAGGTAGGTCCCTAAAATCTAGGTTTACACATGCAAGAATCAGTGGTGTAAAGTAACTAAGTACATGTAATCTATACTGTACTTAAGTAACATTTTGGGATACTTGTACTTGACTTGAGTGCTTCCATTGTATGCTACTTTGTATTTTTACTCCTACATTTATGTAATACCTTTAGTTATCATGCAGATTGATTATTACATCTAATCAAGTGTTAAATCAGACTTTAGTTCCACCTCCTAGAGTAAAGTCACAAGCTACCCTGCAGTATACAAAGTCATTCAAACTAGCTGCACCTTTACCAGCTTTGAGAACACTTAAATGATCAATCATTTTAAAACATATCATATATATTATTCTGAAATGGACCAATCTGCACAATCACTACTTTTACTGTCGCTACTTTAACTATATTTTGATGAGAATACTTTTCTACTTTCACTTGAGGAACATTTTGAATGCAGGACTTTTACTGTAACAGAGTATTCCTACACTCTGGTACTTCTACTTTTACTCAAGTACAAGGTCTGAGTACTTCTACTGTTACTCAAGTACAAGACCTGAGTACTTCTACTTTTACTCAAGATCTGAGTACTTCTACTTTTACTCAAGTACAAGATCTGAGTACTTCTACTTTTACTCAAGTACATGATCTGAGTACTTCTACTTTTACTCAAGTACAAGATCAGAGTACTTCTACTTTTACTCAAGTACCAGATCTGAGTACTTCTACTTTTACTCAAGTACCAGATCTGAGTACTTCTCCCACCTCATGCATGGTGGTGCAAACATCAACAACATAAGGAAATAAGTTGTAAGAGATGCAGATGTTTACAGATGTAGGGATGCATAGAAATGTGCAAAATATATTCAAACTCCATTCAGAAAAAAGTTGCATATGACCTTTACTATCGACACACACCTGGCAGGATATAAAGGTGGAATATGAGATGAGACGAGACGTGTGTGTAGGGAAATAGAAAATAAGTAGGAAGCAGAAAACGGTGTTATAACTACGACATACTACCCCTTTAGGCTTATTGAAAACAAAGTCCTGCTAAGTTTGGATTACGTTTGTTGCACCAGTAAAGTGAGTTTTGGATGATGGAGTATTTATTATTATACACACTTTGTATGCAGTGTTTATGCATAAGAAACTCTTCTGGAGTGTGTAGTGAGAGACAATAAGAAGCTCTGCTGGAGTGTGTAGTGAGAGACAATAAGAAACTCTGCTGGAGTGTGTAGTGAGAGACAATAAGAAGCTCTGCTGGAGTGTGTAGTGAGAGACAATAAGAAGCTCTGCTGGAGTGTGTAGTGGGAGACAATAAGAAACTCTGCTGGAGTGTGTAGTGAGAGACAATAAGAAACTCTGCTGGAGTGTGTAGTGAGAGACAATAAGAAGCTCTGCTGGAGTGTGTAGTGAGAGACAATAAGAAGCTCTGCTGGAGTGTGTAGTGAGAGACAATAAGAAGCTCTGCTGGAGTGTGTAGTGAGAGACAATAAGAAACTCTGCTGGAGTGTGTAGTGAGAGACAATAAGAAGCTCTGCTGGAGTGTGTAGTGAGAGACAATAAGAAACTCTGCTGGAGTGTGTAGTGAGAGACAATAAGAAACTCTGCTGGAGTGTGTAGTGAGAGACAATAAGAAACTCTGCTGGAGTGTGTAGTGAGAGACAATAAGAAATAAAGCACAAATACGTACAAAAAAAATACGTTTAAGACATTTAAAATGAACTAGAAGGCTGTCAAATTGAACAGGTTTCGATTAGAGCTCCATGAAAAGTAAAAAAAAACAGTGTGTGTGTGAACGCCCTCAAAATAGCGTAGAAGTGTGTTATCTTAGACAGACTGATTGAACCTTGGGTGAGTCAAAGAGTGAGGCCAAAGTGATTCATCTTTCGTTACAAGGATTTTGAATCAAGGCTCTGCTTCCCAGCTGCCAGGTGTATGGGGGTTTCCACTGGTCCTCTGACTTCCAGCGGGTCATTGAGTTTATTAAAAATGTCCATGTGTACTTAAACGTCAAAATGGGTTTCATTATCACTGTCTGAATGATTTCAAAGGTTATTCGTCTGTCGATTAAATCAAAGTGAACGAGTTGGCATTTGTATTTGATTCCCACTTGAACATTCACACAGGGTTAGCTCACTCATGTTTATCCACTTTGCCCTTGACCCTAGAAACCCTTTGCACACATCTGACTAGTGTAACCTGGTTCCTTTCCCTTTGTTTATGCAGAAATTGCTTATAATATATATTCATTCATATCAATCACGCAGTTTAAGATTATATTTTAATCCTTTAATGTCATGCCAGAGCCTTATATTTCAACATGTAGCACATCTGTTGGTGTAGTGATGAGCTCTGACCACTAGAGGGCACTGTCTTCATGATCCCTGATGATTAAAATGTGGAATAAAATGTGTGTGTGTGTTTTTTTCCAGGTCAGACAACAAGGTGACGGTGCATTTTTTCAACAGAGACGGGGAGAAGATCACAGTGAAGGGCTCACCGGGAGACTCACTGCTAGATATCGTTATCAATGAAGACCTCGACTTTGATGGCTTTGGTAGGCACGCACACACACACATACACGCACACGCACACGCACACGCACACACACACACACACACACACACACACACACACACACACACACAGAAACAGACACACGCACGCGCACACACACATAGACACACACGCACGCAGACACACACACGCACACACACGCACACAGACACACTCTCACACTGTGAGATTTCCTGCTTTTCTATGTTTAATATATCGCCTTAAAGGGAATATCTTTGGGTTGTTGACTGAAACGGAACATTTTTTCATATTTCCTGACATTTAATAAACCAAAAGATGAATCTAGAAGATGATCTGTAGATGTATTGATGATGAAAATGTTGTTAAATTGCATTTCAGGCGCGTGTGAAGGAACGCTGGCCTGCTCCACGTGCCATCTGATCTTTGAGGAGGAAACCTACAAGAGTCTGGGTCCCGTCACAGACGAGGAGATGGACAGGGGAGAGGGAGCCGACGGCCGTGGTAGGACACGGAAGAAGACAAAAACGCACGCACGCAACACACACACATCACACTAAACAACACACACATCACACTAAACAACACACACATCACACACAACACCAACACACACCAACACACCAACACACCAACACACACCACACCCACAACACACCAACACACACACCCACACACACACACCACACACACACCACACACACCAACACACACACCCACCAACACACACACCCACACACACACACCACACACACCAACACACACACACAAACACACCCAACACACACACACACACACCAACACACCACACACACACACAACACACCAACACACCAACCACACAGCCCAACACACCAACACAACACACACCACACACACACAACAAACACACACACACACAACACACACACACCAAACACACACACCAACACACCACCACACCACACACACACACACACCACACCAACACACACCAACACACACCAACACACACCAACACACACCAACACACACCAACACCACACACACCAACACACACACACACCAACACACACACACACCAACACACACCAACACACACCAACACACACACACACCCCACACCAACAACACACACACACACACACACACACACACACACACACACACACACACACACACACACCACACACCACACACACACAACACACACACCACACACACACACACACACACACACACACACACACACACACACACACACACACACACCTTTTCTACTGACAGCCAAACCAGTTTATCCAGTAATGAGATCATATTCACTGCAGCTGCTTTAAAAGGATTTATTTTAGAGATTAACATTTGTCAGTGTCGGACAATACAATAAAAAAAATACTTTAGATGTAGTTTTAGTCATTATTTTAAGTTTAGTTGAGGATAAACCCTTACATTTTAGTCAACTATTGACCCTTAAGAGGCTGTGTGTTGGCTCAGTGGCTCAGTGTATCACCTCGTGGTATCAGAACGTTTATAAATAAATGGTAATCGGCATCTTTATTCAACATTTTAACAATTGATTAAATGAGAAATGAAGGGTGTACTGAGTCTATTCACAGCTTGTTCACACCGCCTTCATGTGAACACATTGAGTATCGCAGGGGTAACATCTTGCACTGATAATAGGCAGGTACTTTAGTATTATATACTAAGTCAAATATATTTTTCCACCACCAATAATAAGTTATTCGTGGGCCAATACTTACATCCTTTAATAAAATGTAATGAGAATCAGGCCAGCAGTGTTTCCATAATCGTGCTAACAAGAACGTAACCCAATGCTTGTTTCTTAAAATAAGACTACATTTAAAATGAGCAGTATTTTATCTCGCTGTACAGCATTTCATTAAGCTCGTCTTATTCTCTTGTTCCCGCGCACAGGTCTCGTCTGGGTTGCCAGATCTGTCTGACGAAGCGGATGGAGGGCATGGTGGCGCGAGTCCCAGAGAGCGTAGCCGACATCCGACAGAGTCAGGACGGATCCTAACGGCAACCTCCTTTTTTAGACAACTATATTATACTTCACAGCAAATATATGAAATCTGTCTGTAAATCTCAGTTTGCACCAAACCCCAGCCTTTTTGTTTTCGGATATACGTCAGGGCATTTCATGTTAATATGACTGTGTGTACATAAGGTCATATAAACAACATCATGTGACTGAAATGTCTGCGGACAACACTCAAAAGTCCTCATATCTTATGTTAATCTCGATACATACTATCGTTGGTCTGATCTGATTCTTTCTGTAACAATATAATTACATTATATGATTGTACATAGCTAGATCACACATGTATAGAGTGACAAATAATGTAATAAAAAGAAACCTCTTTCTAACTGTGTGTGTCGGTCATTACGTGTTTTATATATTGTGTTGGAAATTAGATTGAAATCACTGCTGGCCTTTAATGATAACAGGAGGGAATAAAAGACATGCATTTGTTTTAAAAAGAAAGGTTTTAATGATGTTTGTGGAGTGGAGGTTTGTGATGAGAGAAGTTCCTGGAGGTAGGAAGGAGCTGTGGACGCACTGATGGGTGAGTACAGCTACAGGAAATTACTTTGTCAAAAACTGGAACTGTAAGCTCAGTTATAGCCAGAGGAGGATAGTTTAAAGTGGACCTATCATGCTATATTATAATAATATAATGTAGGACCATACCTATATAAGGCATATTTATACTTTTTGTTTTTCAAAATACCAAACAGATCAGGCATTTTAGCCATGCCTCATTTTGCTCAATTTGAAATTTGTTTGTAAGGGCAGATTCTGTGAGAACAGCACCATCTACAGGCCTGGCATATGTACTACAGCGTCTCCAGCGCTTTCGAACGGCAATGGCCGTGGCTGTCTCCTCCTGATTGGTGGAGTTGGCCCAATAGCCGTAGCGCCACCGTCCTGACGTCAGGACAGTGTTCAAATCTGGATCAGTTTTTATCAGATCCGTTGCAGCCCCTTTTTTAGAGATTTGGGTATGGAGGAAAATAGAGAGGGTTGTGTTTTCTGACACTTGGTGAGTTCCCTGGAACACCGGGGACACATATTCATGTATAAAAGACGTACAAAAGTGCATTTTGCATGATAGGTCCCCTTTAAACATATTTTTTTGGATAAGGATCCTCCCCCTCATATAAAAATGAGTTTTTTTAGAAAGAACAGTTTTCACATCAAGGTGTTTGTGGTGCAATTGTAGGACATACTTAAAGGTGGCCTACCTGCCTGTCAGCCTTCCATCTGTGCTCAAACTTATCTCGTGCCCTCATTGGTCATGTGCGCGTTCGTGTGTGATGGAGGAGGGGCTCTGTGAGGAAGTGGCAGATTTTTTCCGGCTGTGTATTTTCAAATTTTAGCACACTCGAGCCGGTTTCTCCAAAATTACCTACCCCACCTTTAATTGACTGTTTGCACTATGACTTGTTTTATTTCCTTTTTAAACATTTTCTTTGACTAAATCTACCAGGGTTACTATACTGCAAATGCAAATAAATATGAATGTAATGGATGTTTGTTGATGTGCAAAAAGGTCACAGGTTTTCTCTCACAGTTTGATGCATCAGGACCAAAACGTTTTCACACAGTCAGAACAAAGGCATTTTTTCAATAATTGCTGGGTGTGTATTACATAAGGACAAACTGATGATTAGATCATTATCTTTGAAATGTTTGTGACTCATTCACACTGTGTTACCTGAGGCGCAGGAGGCGGAGCCACACCTGTCGTCCTAACTCACTCTCGCTCCACCCAAAGGTGTTGGTTGCATCCCAAAACTGACTTAGCCATAACAAAAACAGTAGTTCGTACACCTTAAATGTCTTTATTTATCTTTATTATGCATTAAAGTTTCCAGAAAACTCACATTTCAGCCCTAAACATAAATTGCTTGAGGAAATACATATGTCTATTGTTTTAATTCATGTGCAGAAATACAGCTTTTTCTTTGCACAGCGACAGGTGGAGATTCACATGACATGTTGTGGACTGGGTGTCTGCTGCCTGCAAGAGAAAAACAGACAATTGTTTAATACTTTTAACAGAGAGAACATGGTTTATCTGCTCATCTAGGCATGCATATTTAAAGGGTGTTATTTATCAGGACTGTTTGGATTGATCAGATTTGACAGTGTGATACAACATTTGAGACTACATTTATTCAGCTCTGCCAATGACCATGACATTTCTGATGAACAAAACCATAGTATTTCATTTTGTATGATTGTATCTCACCTGTATTCTACTTGCATCCTCCATGCCCATGACCATGACCGTGCCCATGACCGTGCCCACGGCCATGCCCACGCCCATGTTTGTGACCATGTTTGTGACCATGTTTGTGCTTGCGACGGCCTCCGTGCCCATCATCACTGCTGCTGCCGCTGCTGCTTTCGCTGCCACTTCCACTTCCACTGCCGCTTCCACTGCCACAACCTTGTTCTCTGCGTTTTATACGTTCTTGCCTACGTTCAGCACGACGACGTCTGCGGCGTTCCTTCTCCTCATCATCATCCTTATCACGGCATCCGTGGCGATCTTTGTCGTCATCATCCTTATCACGTCTGTGGCGTTGCTTCTCGTCACCATCCTTATCACGGCATCCGTGGCGATCCTTGTCGTCATCATCCTTATCACGGTGTCTTTGGCGATCCTTGTCGTCATCATCCTTATCACGTCTGTGGCGTTGCTTCTCGTCATCATCCTTATCACGGCATCCGTGGCGATCCTTGTCGTCATCATCCTTATCACGGTGTCTTTGGCGATCCTTGTCGTCATCATCCTTATCACGTCTGTGGCGTTGCTTCTCGTCATCATCCTTATCACGGGATCTTTGGCGATCCTTGTCATCCTTCTTGTCCTTCTGTTGATCGCAACCATGATCCTTGTCTCCACCCGCTACGAGGGCATCGTCCAGGTCGAAGTTGTAGCCCGACGGGTGTTCATCTGTTCAACAATCAGAATAACACAAAGAGATGCATTTCAAACACTGAGCTACAACTCCTAGACAAAGGACTCTGTATAATTGTATTTTTTGACAGCATGAGTGAGGGTAAAATGACATTACATTCAACATTTCATGACACCAAGAAATTAATTGGCAACAAAATGTGACTTAAATGAGATAGTACCAATTAATACTTCATCCCCACTCATGTTTTCAAAACAAACAAACACCCTAGACAAAGGACTCAACAAGATTTAACAAGAACCTTTGACTTTGGTCAATCTTACCTTGGTTGGTACCTGAGAACATTTTCTGTCGTTGATGTCTCTCTTTGTGGCAGAAAGTTTCTGTGACACAGAGCTAAATAAAAACACAGGGAAGTGCATTTAGGTTAAACCAGTTCGACTGGAAATGAAAAGGTGTGGCCAAACAAAATGCATTCCTCTTAGTGTTATAACACAACATCATATAACACATATACACAAGTTTCTTCACTTACTTATATGTCTAGAACACAAATATCTGTTTAAATCCTGCATGTTTACATATTATTACAATAAGTAATATTTTATTTTACTGTACAGTATTTCGTTTTTCATTCTGTTATCGGATTCTATTTTAAATATGTATAATAGGTCACTGGAACTGCGGCTGCTTTTAAAAAAAGATGGCCTGCAGCCAGGAGACCTGCTGGTGTGATCACCGGAAGTGCCGAAATAAGGTAAATGATCTAATGATAAGATATATTTTTTTAAATAACGAAAGAGAGGAAACAATCCGTAAATATTTAAAAAATGTAATATTTGTATATAGGACTGTTTATAATCAATCTGTGTTGAGTCAAACCAATCTGGATTGATAAACTGATTCAAAAATTCAGGGTCATCGATGGAAATAAAACTTCCATACATATCCTCTTCAAGATCTTTGTATTTAGTAAAAAAAATTAAATAACAATTACTGGATTATTATACTAGTATTTATTACAATGTAGAATAATAATATTAAATGTGAGTCAATTTAAAGAAATACTGGAATAAACCATAATAACCTGATACTAGTTTAAATGTAATTTGGCATTCATTTGCCACACACATGTTTCTTCTGTTCACTCACATTTTGTCTTTCATTGTAAATAAAATGCTTTGATTGTTTTCATGAAAACATAATTTTTCTAAAATTGTATTCTCATTTTAGATCCCACTTCAAGCAGCCCATGAAGACGGGGTTTAATGTGATGGATGATTTTGACTTTGTTTTTAAAAATAAACAGTTTCTTTTTGTCTGAATGGGTACCAGTGTTTATTTCCTCATCAAAGAATTTATTTCTATTCGTTTGTCCCCTACATTGTTTGGTTTCACATTGCTATTTCTTACTGCACATTTGAAGTGGAATTCTTTTTTGACATTAAAGGGGACCTATCATGCAAAATGCACTTGTGTACGTCTTTTATACATGAATATGTGTCCCCGGTGTTCCAGGGAACTCACCAAGTGTCAGAAAACACAACCCTCTCTATTTTCCTCCATACCCAAATCTCTAAAAAAGGGGCTGCAACGGATCTGATAAAAACTGATCCAGATTTGAACACTGTCCTGACGTCAGGACGGTGGCGCTACGGCTATTGGGCCAACTCCACCAATCAGGAGGAGACAGCCACGGCCATTGGCGTTCGAAAGCGCTGGAGACGCTGTAGTACATATGCCAGGCCTGTAGGTGGTGCTGTTCTCACTGAATCAGCCCTTGCTAAAACAGAGCTATAAATTGTCAAATTGAGCGAAATGAGGCATGGCTAAAATGCATGATCTGTTTGGTATTTTGAAAAAAAAAAGGTATAAATATGCCTTATATAGGTATGGTCCTACACTATATTATTCAAATATAGCATGATAGGTCCACTTTAAATACAAATCTTTAATGGAAACACTGCATTTATATTCTGATCTCAATGTGCACTATGCTAAGGTTAGGGTCCGATACTTTGAGACAAGAACTTTCTTTTAAAAGTGTTGCCCAATATTGATTGGTTCCACTTTTTTCAAATGTTTAATTATTTGCTTCTGTTTGGTTTTATAATTTGTGTAATAAAACATTTGGGATGTAGAAGTATTCATTCTAAAGCATGAGTATAAAAAGGTTTATTATTTGGTGACCTTTTGACCAACATATATGAAGATATCGGAAGAAATTCTGTTAAACTTTGTCCAAATAAACAAAAACATATTCCCTGATAGTACGGTTTAGGAATGCGTTTAAGAGGGAAGAGATTATCAGGCCTCTGAAAACATTTTGATAAATACAGAAACAATTCCTCAGATCTCGGGTCAGAGGTGGGAGAAGTACTCAGATCTGTACTTGAGTAGAAGTATTCAGATATTGTACTTGAGTAGAAGTACTCAGATATTGTACTTGAGCAAAAATAGAAGCACTCAGATCTTGTACTTGAGTAAAAGTAGAAGTACTCAGATCTTGTACTTGAGTAAAAGTAGAAGCACTCAGATCTTGTACTTGAGTAAAAGTAGAAGTACCAGAGTGTAGGAATACTCTGTTACAGCAAAAGTCCTGCATTCAAAATGTTCCTCAAGTGAAAGTATAAAAGTATTATCATCAAAATATAGTGAAAGTAGCGACAGCAAAAGTAGTGATTGTGCAGATTGGTCCATTTCAAAATAATATATATGATATGTTTTATAATGATTGATCATGAAAGTGTTCTCAAAGCTGGTAAAGGTGCAGCTAGTTTGAATGACTTTGTATACTGCAGGGTAGCTTGTGAATTTACTCCAGGTGAAACTAAAGTCTGATTTAACACTTGGTTATATTGTTTTTCATTAATCTATATCTGCAAATTAACTAAAGGTAATCCGTAAATGTAGCGGAATAAAAGTACACTATTTACCTCTGAATTGTAGTGGAGTAGAAGTACAAAGTAGCATAAAATGGAAATACCATACTAAAGTACAAGTACCTCAAGAAAACCTGTGACCTTTTTGCACATCAACAAACATCCATTCATAATTATTTGCATTTGCAGTATAGTAGTTTTGTTCATGCCAACAAATGTTAGCATGTTCCAGCATGGTAAACAACCTAAGTTAGCTTGCATCAAAATAATCACATGTTTTTTGTTTGACAAAGTTATATTTGCATAATACATGTTTGACTGTCATACAAACAAATGACTTCTGTGTTGCAATGCTTAGGAATGAGCACCAACTCCAAACTAAATCACATGTTGTGGACGGAGAGTCTACATTCCTGCAGCATTTCAGGAGTATTTTCAACATGCACTTGACATTTAAACATCTTGACATCACACTTTAACTTCATGTAGAAAACTATTAAGTTCATATTGTATATTCACACTCAGAATCAATGAAAGGCAACTCTTTGTATTGAATCTCCATCTGCCAGCAGATCTGCAGAGCCTGAGCGACGATATCCTCTGACATCTTCTGAGCGTAATCCTGTATCTGTTTGCTGACTGGATGAAGGTTTAACGATGAACCATCAGCTGGAGTCTCCTCTGAACATTTTCCCTCCTCTAGGTCCTTTAAAAACACTTCTGTTTCATCCTCCTCCTGTTGAACGATGTCCGTATCCTTCTGTTGCTCCAAACAGAGAAGAATCTGGACACTTTACATCCCATTTCAACGGCATCTGAAGTTCATTTCCATGACTGAAGAAGGGGGTTAGGGGTTTCCCTAAAAAAAAAAAACATACATTTCATTACCTAAAATGTTCTGTTTGGCCATCAAAAATAAAAGGAGTTTGTAAAAAACCTCTATCAAGGTCAACTGTGTCCAATAACTACAAAATAAAAGGCATCCGTAGTCTGAAAACATTGTTAAAAAGGCACAAAAGTCCCCATTTTGAAATAGAACAAATCCAGTAAACAACCTGAAATATTGAGGTGATATTTGAATGTTTACCCTCTGTGATGCAGCTCCTCTCTGGACTCCCTGCAGGTTCATTTGATGTTTGGACAGCCTTCAGAGTGGCTGAGACACAGGCAGCTGAACCTGTTCACTCCTCATGAAGGTGGGTGGGAGGAGCAGCAGATAACACCCAAAACATAAAAGGATAATAAAGAAGCGTCTTTGAGCAGTATGAAAGCGCTATAAAAATCAAACACAATATTTGGCTTCAAAGAATAGTGTCAGTGTGATGCTACCTCTTTAAATCTCCCTTTTGATTAAAAAAAACACCTCACAGCCAATCGTAAAGTCCTGAGTCCTGAGGACAGACTCATATCAGGCAGCGTCACTGCACCGACCCCTTCTTCCCTGCAGGATGCTCCTCTTTCTGGGCCTGGCTTTCTTCCTCTCTGCGAGTTGTTCCATGGAGATGAACCAGACCTCCAAGATACTGGTGCAAGGTGGAGAGCAGTGTTCTGCCTGTGACTTCCGGGAGCACAGCAAGCAGATGAGGCTCCACAGCATCAAGTCCCAGATCCTGAGTATCCTGAGACTCGAACAGGCTCCCAACATCAGCCGGGACATGATCCGCCAGCTGCTGCCCAAAGCGCCGCCTCTGACGCAGATCCTGGACCAGTACGACCCGCGCGTGGAGGAAGAGGAGCACGCCACCACGGAGACCATCATCACCATGGCCACTAAGCGTAACTAAACCAAACATATCTGTCATTTTTATACGTCTTTTTTTGTTCTACACCTCCACTGAACGCCGTAAGTAAAACAAAAAGAATAATCCATGCGTAAATCCTGTGCGTAAAGTTTGTTTCCAAGTAGAAAAAACGGGACAGTTAAGCCGTAAATGACCATGAAGACGTGCGTAATTATGCTTTTCCCGACTATCAAATATTATAATCACTTTCAAAGTCTAATTTGTGACCTTTAATTAAAAAATACTGACAGCATTGTAGTTTCAGGGAGATGTTGGAACTTAAAAACTCAATAAAACAAACATACATATTTCTGCAATTTAAAAACGTTCATGACAAAAGCTTTTATGACAAATGTTCATGCCAGTAGTGTGAGAAGATTCATATTTTGCACTGTGTAAAAGTGACTATATTTAAGAGTGAAAAAGTCAAATGAGTCTTCTATTAGATGAAGATGAGTGAAAACGTTTAATTACTTTACAGCAAATGGTAACATGCTGTGGCAATATTGGTCATGTGAAACAATAGATAAGTAATTGTATTATTTGAATCCTACAACAGTAACAGTAGAGGAAAGGTCATAGGGTCAGGAAGAACTTTATTCTGTAAATTATAAATACTGTGAACACATTTGAGGGAAATTACTACAACATAATATGGAAAAGACTGTCGATCCGAAAGGAAAGGAAAGGTCAGGGGGTCACTAAAATAAATGGGGATTCATCCTCATTTTGGACAAACCAGAAAACAATTCAGGATGGTGGGAAACGGTATTTCCATCTCTCTGTCTGTACACACAAACTGAAAGATTGTCAATAAAGTTGACTTTGACTTTGACTAATATACATTTCCTCCAGCTAATCCCATGGACCTGGAGGAGTTGTCCTCTTGTTGTCTGTTCAGCCTCAGTCCGAAGATCCAACCCAAGAACATCCTGCGCGCTCAGCTGTGGGTTCACCTGCGTCCGGCCGACACAGTGACCACCATCTTCTTGCAGATCTCCCACCTCAAACCGGGGAAGGAGGGAAACAACACGCGAGTGCGAGTCCGCTCCCTGAAGATCGAGGCTGACGCCGGCGCCGGATCCTGGCAAAGCATCGACATCAAATCTCTGCTTCAGGCCTGGCTGCGCCAACCGGAGAGCAACTACAGCATCGAGATCAACGCCTTCGACTCCACCGGAGAAGATCTGGCCGTCACATCAGCGGAGCCTGGAGAGGAAGGGCTGGTGAGTGTACCAAGACATATTCACTTATACTTAAAAAGCACTTTGATTCTGGAATTTTATGAAGATCCAAATTAAGTTTGATTTTCAATAATCGCGGATTTAGTCGACCGAAAGCCATGTGGGGTCAAAACCAAAGTGCTGACCTAATGATCCCGCACACACTAGTCTGTGTTGGATGTGGTGTGTGAACTAATGTTTGGCTAACTGCTTTACATGGCACTATGCAAGTGGTTTTTCTGTTGCATTGCCTGCACATATTTCCAACTCTCTTCCAGCAACCGTTCATTGAAGTGAAGATCCTCGACAACCCGAAGAGATCCCGCCGTGATTCCAGCCTCAACTGCGACGAGGATTCTTCAGAAACTCGCTGCTGCCTCTACCCGCTCACCGTGGACTTCGAGGAGTTCGGCTGGGACTGGATCATTGCGCCCAAACGCTACCGGGCCAACTACTGCTCCGGGGAATGTGAGTTCATGCACCTGCAGCAGTACCCGCATGCACACCTGGTGAACAAAGCCAACCCTCGAGGCTCCGCGGGACCCTGCTGCACGCCCACCAAGATGTCGGCCATCAACATGCTCTACTTCAACCGCAAAGAGCAGATCATCTACGGAAAGATCCCGTCGATGGTGGTCGACCACTGCGGATGTTCCTGAGGGAAACCTGCAGGAGGAAAGCATGGAGATAGAAGGAGTATTTACACATACAACCACTGCCCAAAAGAACATAAGGACTACAGACCAATAGCCCTTACCTCAGTCATTATGAAATCATTAGAAATCATTCTTCTCTGTTTTCTTATCAGTATAACAAAAGACAAACTTCATCCATACCAATTTGCATATAAGCTAGTTCAGTCAGACAACTCACGTGTTTCTTTAACATGTTTATTAGAAGCAGCATACAGTTGAGTTTGGCGTCTAGGCTCGGGCCTCATCACTCCACAGATATACATAGCACGATGAGTGATGATTAAATAACTAACCCCCCCGAGCCTACAGGTGGAAGCTGGGGTGGAAGCTGGGGTGGAAGCTGGGGTGGAAGCTGGGGTGGAAGCTGGGGTGGTGGTGGGGTGGAAGCTGGGGTGGAAGCTGGGGTGGAAGCTGGGGTGGAAGCTGGGGTGGAAGCTGGGGTGGTGGTGGGGTGGAAGCTGGGGTGGTGGTGGGGTGGAAGCTGGCGTGGAAGCTGGGGTGGAAGCTGGGGTGGAAGCTGGGGTGGTGGTGGGGCAGGCAAGCAGCAGCGACGTGGAAGTAGCTGCAGCAATAGCAGTAGCAAGCAATGCATGGAGAGAGATCTGGCAGGTTCAATAGAGCTGCATATTAAGGAGACTCTGTTTGGTTGGCTGTAGAGTGGCAAGGGGCGTTATGTATGAATGCAGCATAAGTGCTCGAGTTGACTGCCTGAACTAGCTCGCAGGCTTCGCCCCATTTGTGTTACCGAAGAAGCTGTTGCTACTCTTGTTCATATCACTAAACATTTAGATAAGGACAGGACTTTTTTTTATTTTCATATTGTGTGCTTTTACCTAACCACAACGAGTTGCCGCTTTACAAAATATAGTTACTCTCATGTTTATGTTATGCAAAATCTTGTGTTTTTATTAACTGTCCACTGGTGGGTGCACATTTGAATGCACACGAAGTGAAGTATCCCTGCTGCTTCGTGTCCTCATGTCTTACGAAAGCCTGTCCTGATTTGAGCCTTGACCAGAGCAAACCCTGCAGGACTTCTTCCATGTGCGCCCTTTATTTTGAAAAACATTAACCTAATGGCCGAGCTTACATTGACCTTTCCCTTCCCAAAGCTTGTCTGCAAACTCCTCCTGTGATCTGTTTGAGAGCTTAACGGGGATAGGCAGAGAGTTCTAAGAAATGTTTTTAACCTGAACAGCACAATGAAAACCTCGGAAATCAAACACAGTTCTTATCACTGGGTTGCATCAAACATTTTCCTTCTTCTGTGCATTTTTGCAATTTCTCTTCTTCATGTTCCCTAGCTTGCATGCACTACACATTTAGAGGATAAAGAGTGGATGGATACTGGATTGAAAAGCAGTATTTCAGTGCCTTCAAAGTGACGGAATTGGGATGAGAAGTGCACCATTTAACCTTTTTAGTGATGTCAAAGTATACTGACACACCCTTTGTGTACAATTCTACATCACTGCAGCAGGATGAGATGCTGAACCACAAGAGGTCAGCAAAAGCAACATTTAAGGTGATGCAAGACATTAAAATGAATGCTATTAGAGCCAATGCTACAAAGGACCTCCTCATATACACAAACATTGATTTGCATGGCTCTAACCCAAAAGAAGACCTTTAACTTTCACCCTAATGGAAGAAATTATAACCAGCGTTTAAGTGGATGTTGTGTGCTGTAGTGTGCAAACAGTCGGGGAAGTTTTCATCTGGATCCATCTGCCAATTTCAATGTGAGCGCAGAAACTGTGATCTCAGAGGGAGGCTTGAACACAATCCGAAGCCATGTGCAGATGTCCTGAATGTTGTTGTTCTTCACGGGGCTTTCTGACCCAAAAGTCTTTGTTCTTCTGCCGATGGAACAGCACGTCCACGGATAACAGCGAACACAATGTACAAGATATCTGGTGCATATAAGATAAGATGAGATAAGGTACTTTATTGATCACAATTTGGGAAATGTTTGACACAATATAACGCCGGATATTATTTACATTAAGAGTGTAAATGTGTCCAAAGAGAAGCTATGGAGCAGTGAGTTCTCGAATATTGGTTTGCTTACCTGCTGAAAAAGGCAGATTTATCCTATGTGTATTGTTTCATTATGCTCATCTCTATAGGTTATAGCTTTCATTAAATAAGGCACATTTACTAGAAGATATGCATTGAAAAAGCCCTGAATTATTACACTTATGAGTCTCATAAACAAAGATTTACTGTAGGATTCACATTGTTCACTGTGATTGCAGATTTATTTCAAGGTTGTTAGGTTTATGAAAGATGATTTTCTCACAAAATAATCCTGAGAAACTGTGTAGACCTGTTTTTTGTAATGTTCTTCCAATAATTATTGCTGTAAAAATGTTATTTATATCTGCTGCCAAGTGGCGCCATTATTAATTGTTTCCAAATTGAGAAAGAACATGACCTTCATGACCTGTGTGCTTTATATATTTCTACATGCATGATCATAAATGTACTTTAAATATTGAAACAGTGGAGGAATTAACACATAGCCTATGCATGATAACTACTTTTTTATTATCACATATTTAACCGTGTTTTGATGACCATACTAACAGGCTTGGATGCATTTGTACATTTCTATGTATGTTCAGTATGTTTTGTTAACATTTACGTAATTTGTATTTCACATAGATGTTGTCATTGTTGTTTCTGGGGCCAAATGAGACACACGTGTAAAAAAGTGTTTATTTCTGCTCCCTTTCCCCCCCAAAAAATACCGTATTGATAAATAAAGTTATATTTTGACTTGACACATGTTGGAACAATTGTTAATTGTTCTTATTTTGGATAAAATGACTGAATGTGCAAGCTAATTTTTATCATAAGTTAAGTTTCAGTTTCATAGTTGTAGGTGTTTCAGTTACTTTCTCTTTCTCTGAAAACACGTGGTCAGTGGAAGCTCTTCTGATAATGGTCTGCCTCCCCTCGGAAGCTACAGTATTTATCTTTTAATCACATAAATATGATTCAACATCTAGGGTTGTTACCCTTACAGTGTATGAAAACAAAATATAAACATATTAATTACTGATCTTCGGCTGATACCTCTAAAAATACGTTTAAAAAAACAACTATTTGTATTGTTTTTATGGGTGAACGTGCTAACTGACAGAACAGCCGCGTAAGCCTCGCTCTGATTGGCTGACAGAAGCAAAGGGGCGGGCACAGATCTCGGATCTCGCAGGTGATTGACTGATTCTGTTTCCTGAACATAACAGTAGCAGGAAAACGCAGAAGCTGTCATCACAGTTTTGGGACAGCCAAAGTTACATTTCGGTGAGATATTGTACGCGTTTACTCAAATTAAACGGTAAGTTTGCTCAATTACTTCCTTACGCAGTGACAACATGTCTCCCAAATCTGCTGTCTGTTTTGATAGAGTATGTTTAGCTAACGTGAAGCCAAACTGCGCTAAAAAACTGAGTACAAGAAGTCCTAATTAATTAATTGAAGTTAACTTAATTTACTGCCAACCTGGTGAGTCAGAAATAGGCAATTTTCACCAGTGAGCTTTAACCATTTAGCTTGTGTTTTGTTCTATGACTCTGGTTTTTATGGCAGAATGTGCTCAAAAAGTAGGGACATTTAGATAAAATGATATATACTTTGACATTTCACATGAATTAAAACTGTAAATATATACATATCAACAGTAGAATGATGTATATCTATTTAAAACACAGTACAAATATAGTAATATAATATTGTGGGATATTATTGACTCTGAAGGAAGTGGGATGAGGAACGAAACCTATGGACACATGTCACCTTTTCCAGCTTATTATAAAAGATATGATAATAATGTTGAATCTGCTAAAGCTGCTTTATTGATATGAACACGTTTTATGAAGTAGTTTGTCAGGATATTTTATTTCTAATTAACTTAACTTCTATTTCTAAGGAGTCCTTTTGACAGTGAATTCATGAATTTACAATAAACTCCAGATCTCCTTTGCCCTCTGACCACACTGAGGGTGGCAATAAGATTATTGCATTATAAGTAAGGCATTTATACATCGTAAAGGATTTTATGACACTTTTTAGAAGCTGCAGAGGCAAAAAAAAGACCAAATATACAACTTAAAATACAGATGTGTTAGCAGCTGCAACAGCATCAACATTTGAATAAGAAATTGCATTTATAAATTACATTTTCAACATTAAATGTACATTTTTATAGGCTGTATGTTGACTAACAACACGTACATATGTTTGTGACAGCACATCAGCCAAAAATGCAGTTCAGAATGATCTAAAAACGCATCTATTTAAGACGTGTTGTTCACTGTAATCTGTCCGCAGTGCAGCAGGTGTTGAATTTATCTAGAAGTGAAATGCCTGAATCCTCATCCATCTTCTTCCTCTCGTTCCCCAAAAGATGGCGCAGTGGGGCCAGCTCCAGATGTTGGACTGTAAGTACCTGGAGCAGGTGGACCAGCTGTACGACGACTCCTTCCCCATGGACATCCGACAGTACCTGAGCAGGTGGATCGAGAGCATCGACTGGTACGAAGACACAAAGAAAGAGCACATTTATACCAAAATATGCCATCATAGTAACACGGACAGATTGGGATGTCGGGCTATTCATCAACACAATATCCACATGTTGTTTTTAAATAACCGTCCATTCATAATTAATCAGTAATGCAAATAGGTAGTTAGTTGCAGCCATGTTACAACAAAGGTTCCTCAAAGTGTGTTGTTGTGCAACTAATTTTATTATTTATAAATCAATGCTTTTTCTACTGAATTGATCTTCTATATAATGTTAGAAAATAGGAAAGAGAATGCTCATTATCAAACAGTCCTAAGGTGGAAGAATCAATAATGGGGTTGATTTTTAATTGAATAATTATCAAAACGGTTCCAGATTTTTAATCAATTAAGTGTTTAAACTCTGAACTGGTTTGATGTTCCCTTTCTTAAATTAGCTCTCTGCAATTAATTAGTATTCATGTAGATGTCTGTGGGGGAAACGTCTGTGTAGCAATGCAGTGGGAGTCACCGACTCAAAGGAGACACGGGGAGAGCTGGAGCTTTGATGGCAAACACTGATGGGTTTATTTAGGAGCTTCGGCCGGAGAATTCACAAAACCAGTCAGAGAGTCAGAGGGTCTGACTTCACCGGAGAGTTGCCACAAAGAACTCTACCCCAGACCCGTGTATTTAGCTAGTTCAGAGAGAATAACAGGGGGACAGAACACTGAGAGCACAGCAGCCACGGGTACAGGTGCGTGTGCTCAGTCAGGACATGAACTGATCAACTGGGTCACAGTTATGGACCTTGGAACATATTTCCCCAACAATGTATATATGAAAAAAGACATTAAAAAGGATAGGGATACTGACTCAAGCTTTTATAAGAATAGGATAAAGCCTAGAAGAAGCTGTAATTAATTTAAAAGTGAATTAACTCAATAAAAAAACGTGCAAAGTGCAAAACCATATCTTGTTCCAGCTTTGAAAGACGTAGTGATTTCCCCTCTGCCTGCTCAGGGACACGGTGGCGGATCAGGACTCTTTGGCCACCGTGCGTTTCCACGACCTCCTCGCTCAGCTGGACGACCAACACGGCCGCTTCGCTTTAGAAAACAACTTCCTGTTGCAGCACAACATCCGCAAGATCAAGAGGAACCTGCAGGTACCACCGACGTTCAGCTCTGTGGAGTGTGATAGTTGTTATTTATTATTTCTGCTGATTGATAACTCCCGCGATGTCTCTGCAGGATCGCTTCCAGGAAGACCCCATCCACATGGCCGTGATCATCTCCAAAAACCTGAAGGAGGAGAAGAAGATCCTGGACGGGGCGAAGAACAGACAGGTAAGGCAGAAAGTACATATATAAGGAAATTAGGGGTGTAACGGTTCACAGAATTTACGGTTCGGTATGTACCTCGGTTTGGGGGTCACGGTTCGGTATGTACCTCGGTTTGGGGGTCACGGTTCGGTATGTACCTCGGTTTGGGGGTCACGGTTCGGTATGTACCTCGGTTTGGGGGTCACGGTTCGGTATGTACCTCGGTTTGGGGGTCACGGTTCGGTATGTACCTCGGTTTGGGGGTCACGGTTCGGTATGTACCTCGGTTTGGGGGTCACGGTTCGGTATGTACCTCGGTTTGGGGGTCACGGTGCGGTATGTACCTCGGTTTGGGGGTCACGGTTCGGTATGTATCTCGGTTTGGGGGTCACGGTTCGGTATGTACCTCGGTTTGGGGGTCACGGTTCGGTATGTACCTCGGTTTGGGGGTCACGGTTCGGTATGTACCCTCGGTTTGGGGTCACGGTTCGGTATGTACCTCGGTTTGGGGGTCACGGTTCGGTATTGTACCTCGGTTTGGGGGTCACGGTTCGGTATGTACCTCGGTTTGGGGGTCCACGGTTCGGTATGTACCTCGGTTTGGGGGTCACGGTTCGGTATGTACCTCGGTTAGGGGGTCACGGTTGCGGTATGTACCTCGGTTTGGGGGTCACGGTTCGGTATGTACCTCGGTTTGGGGGTCACGGTTCGGTATGTACCTCGGTTTGGGGGTCACGGTTCGGTATGTACCTCGGTTTGGGGGTCACGGTTCGGTATGTACTCGGTTGGGGTCACGGTGCGGTATGTACCTCGGTTTGGGGGTCACGGTTCTGCGTATGTATCTCGGTTTGGGGTCACGGTTCGGTATGTACCTCGGTTTTTGGGGGTCACGGTTCGGTATTGTACCTCGGTTTTGGGGGGTCACGGTTCGGTATGTACCTCGGTTTGGGGTCACGGTTCGGTATGTACCTCGGTTTGGGGGTCACGGTGCGGTATGTACCTCGGTTTGGGGGTCACGGTTCGGTATGTACCTCGGTTTGGGGGTCACGGTTCGGTATGTACCTCGGTTTGGGGGTCACGGTTCGGTATGTACCTCGGTTTGGGGGTCACGGTGCGGTATGTACCTCGGTTTGGGGGTCACGGTTCGGTATGTATCTCGGTTTGGGGGTCACGGTTCGGTACAACAAGAAAAAGCAAAAAAAAGTCCCAAATGCATAATTCCAGGTTTGTGTTTTATTTATTTTGAACAGTAGTGCAAGTTACAGTTTAAAAATAAGGAACTCTAACATTTTGAATAATTCACTTATACTTATTACACAGTTCAAAACAAACCTCAAACAGTACCACACACACTCGGATGGCCATATTATTGTGTGTGTGTGTGTGTGTGTGTGTGTGTGTGTGTGTGTGTGTGTGTGTGTGTGTGTGTGTGTGTGTGTGTGTGTGTGGTGTGTGTGTGTGTGTGTGTGTGTGGTGTGTGTGTGTGTGTGTGTGTGTGTGTGTGTGTGTGTGTGTGTGTGTGTGTGTGTGTGTGTGTGTGTGTGTGTGTGTGTGTGTGTGTGTGTGTGTGTGTGTGTGTGTGTGTGTGTGTGTGTGTGTGTGTGTGTGTGTGTGTGTGTGTGTGTGTGTGTGTGTGTGTGTGTGTGTGTGTGTGTGTGTGTGTGTGTGTGTGTGTGTGTGTGTGTGTGTGTGTGTGAGACTTCCACAGAACACACATGATGCGTGGACTCATTTGCCTTTGGTGATTGTTTTCCCTTGAAATATGACTCCTCCCAGGTAATGATTGCACAACGACCCACAGCATCTGTGTTCTCTAGTCTTCTATTGCATAAGGGCGCAGCATAGCCGTTGAAAAACATATGCCAAAAGCTTCTGTTATTTCTTCTGGTCTCTCTTGGCTTCTTAAAAACTGCGGGGCTAAGCTGTTGAACTGCTGTTGTCTTTTGCCGGGCTCCGGTGATTGCCAAATCTGGGTGATGCCTTCTGATATGATTTAGCGTGTTTGGCTTGTGTTAGCATGCCGTTCCCGTGTCAAGGGGTGCATTTCACGACAGAGGTGCATAATTTGACACAACACCGGCACACCGTCCTCGTCCGATCCACCACTCGCACTTCATCGTTATTGTAGTCCACAGGGACCCCGAAATGTTCCCACGCAGCTGATTTAAAAGAAGCAGGTGGGTCTTCTCGCTCCTTTGTGTTATCTGAACTCGCAATACTAACTTTTCTTTTCTTGTATTTTATTCGTTTTGTTGTGTTTTCTTCTTCTTCTTCTTCATTTGTTGTTTAAGGGCGGCTGGCAAACAGCTGGATGATATATAGTGTAATGGATACTGCCCTGAATGACAGACTTCTTTTCCCACTCGTGCACCGAACCGTGACGTCCGAACCGTGACGGTACGGGACGAATACGGATACCGTTACACCCCTAAAATAAATACTTACTTTAGAAATTAAAGTGGGAATAAACCTGGTCCTAGTCCTGCTCCTAGTCCTGCTCCTCTGCCTCCTCAATAAAGGTATATCTTATTACCATACCTGCAACTAGGGATGCCAGAAACTGACCATGATGAAATTCAAAAATCGGACAGCCCTGGCGAATATTAATCGATTATTCGCCTCCCCCCGATTGAATAATCGCTGGCATCCCTACCTGCAACTACCAGTTTTTGTGAAGAATGCATAAAATGATGCAATATATGTTAAATACATGGTTTGTACAAGTAATTACTGGGGTTGCATTTCTTCTGATTACCTCATTTGGGCGTGCACATTTTCCGCGCGCAAACCTACCTCTTTTGGATTTGGAAAGGTTGGCATGTATGTATTACATTTGAGAGAAATTAAAAAAAGAGGAGGCGGAGCTAATGCCTGATCAGAATTCTACCACAATTGACAAAGACGATATTACGTCCATAACACGCATTGTTTCTGATAGCAACTCTCTGTGGGTCCACCATCCGAAATTACGTCATATCGGCAGCAAATCTGTATCCGCTCGTTGTTCCCCCGTTTTTAAAAGATGTGGGTAGGGAGGAAAAGAGAGAGAGAGAGTTTTATTTGCTGACGCTGCGTGAGTTCCCCGACACACCGGGGACACATAGTGATGTATACAAGACATCAAAAAGTGCATTTTGCATGATAGGTCCCCTTTAAGTTTAAATGGAGCAACTCTTTCTTGAAACATATCTTACTACAAAGACAACAGATTATGTTCCCCAGGGTTTTTTCTGCATACCAGAATGCAGATTTTCCCCGTAAAATGTTAGTGATGCCAGAAAACAATATTTCTGTTCGTCAAAAACAGTATTATTACTCCAGGAATATGAGTATCAAACAGAGCGTCAGACGGCAGAGACAGCTTTGTTTTTACGGAGCTCTGACGTCACGTTGTTGTCTACGTCCGCGAGAATTTATATATCTTATTTACAAGATCAGCGCCACAGTATTGCCCAAATTGTAAGTAAATATATATTTGTTTCTGCAGCAGGACGGCGAGGGGACGATGTCGGCCATGGTGGTGGAGAAACAGAAGCTGGACAACAAAGTGGAGCAGATGAAAGAAATAGTTCAGGTAAACACACCTGTCGTTATATAGTAAAAGTGTAACGGTCTGTCTCCATCAAGGAAGGGCTTTTTGTCTGTAATGTGTTCTCTCGCGGTGCAGGTGGCGGATCAGAACATCAAGAAGCTGGAAGATCAGCAGGACGAGTACGACTTCATCATCGACACCCTGAAGAACAGAGGTGGGGAAACGTCAAAGCTGTTTTTATGTTTATTGGATGCTGTATTAGGGCCAGAGTACGTAAACAAACTCAGTGATGTTGTTTAGGATTTTACGATCACCTCATTCTAATCGCTCTGTTGTTTCCTCGTGAATAGTGTCTATTGCTAAATATCAAAATATAGTTTGATAAATCATCTGCAGGTAAAATGTAAGTTGCTTCAACCTTGTGAAATCTCAACGTTTATTCGCCATAAATGTACGACTTTAATATCCGATAATATCCATATTTTTTGGGGCGTAAATGTATGGCTTTAATGTCAGAACGTTTTTTCTAGCATTATACACAGGTTAAGTTACACATAACTTTCTCAGTGAGTTACTCAGAGGAGTACCAGCAGTCAGTGTTTGGTACTCCAACTTCTGGCCCCACATAAAGTTATGTGATGAAGCCCTCTGTGACGTGAACGGCGACGCTAGTGGAGTACTTCGGGAACGTTGACGGGGTTGAGCGTGCCGTGAACGTTGTGATCAGCTGATTTTGCGCAGTTCTCCAGTGTGTGCACAGGGGAGTCTCCGCAGCCGGTTGACGTAGTTTTGGCACAATTCTGTTGTACAGACCGACGTTAACAGCTGCCCCGCCCCGTCTGTGCACACGGATACCGACTCTGGAAAAGCTTCACAAGTACGTCGGTACGCAAAGGCCCTTAGTGACACAAGTGACGGTACGCATTTCAGATTTTTGGCGCGCATGCGTACCAGTTATGTGCACCCCTGATTATACACACAGTTTCAAATTGGAGTTTATCTAAACACAATGCCCCTAATATGTCGTCAACGGTTTTAAATAATTCACAAATTAGGTAAAAATTAAATAGCATAAATCGTGCACAAGGGGAAATTGTAGTTCTGTTATTCCTTATTAGATCTAATCAATTGATTCAGATTTAATTTGTGTGTGTGTGTAGAGAATGAAATAAATGGCATGACACCGAAGGAGCTGGAGAAAGAGAAGATGAGGGTCCAAGGGATGTGCCTCGAACTGAAGGCCAAGCGACTGGTGAGCAACAAAAGAGACGTGTTCCTCCCTGACAATAACTACACACCTGCAAAGTTGGAAGCTAAGGTTTCTCCCGTGTTCCCCCCAGAACGTGGTGTCCCAGCTGACGGAGCTCCTGAACGTCACGCAGGCCTTGCTGTCGGACCTGATCTCCGAGGAGCTGCCGGAGTGGAAGCAGCGGCAGCAGATCGCCTGCATCGGAGGCCCGCCCAACGCCTGCGTGGACCAGCTGCAGAACTGGTGAGGACTGGAGGACGATAACATTTCAATACATGACTTTGTCTTCAAGGTCTTCAACACAGATCCTCCTCTCTCCTTCTCCTCCTCTTCCTCCTCTTCCTCCGGCAGGTTCACAGCAGTAGCAGAGAGTCTTCAGCAGGTCCGTCAGCACCTGAAGAAGCTGCAGGAGTTGGAGCAGAAGTTGACGTACGAGAGCGACCCCATCACGCAGAAGAAAGCGTACCTGGAGGCCCGAGCCCTGGACCTCCTCAAGAACCTGCTCTCCAAGTGAGGACACACGCACACACACACACACACACACACACACACACACACACACACACACACACACACACACACGCACACGCACACTTACACACAAAGGTGACACACACACACACACAAAGGTGTCACACACACACACGCACACACACACACACACACACACAAAGGTGTCACACACACACATGCACACACACACACACACACACACACACACACACAAAGGTGTCACACACACACACACACACACACACACACAAAGGTGTCACGCACACACACACACACACAAAGGTGGCACACACACACACACACACAAAGGTGGCACACACACACACACACACACACACAAAGGTGTCACACACACACACACACACACACAAAGGTGTCACACACACACATGCACACACACACACACACACACACACACACAAAGGTGTCACACACACACACGCACACACACACACACACACACACACACACACACACAAAGGTGTCACGCACACACACACACACACGCACACACACACACACACACACACACAAAGGTGTCACGCACACACACACACACACACACACACACACACACACACACACACACACAAAGGTGGCACACACACACACACACACACACAAGGTGTCACACACACACACACACACACACACACACACACACACACACAGAGGTGTCACACACACACACACAGGCTTTCAGCTGAGGCGGGAAGTAATGCTTACTTTTATTTTGATGGCTTATCTTGTCTGTTTTTAACATACATGTTTTTTAAGGGAATTAAAGTTTCTGTGTGTGTGTGTGTGTGTGTGTGTGTGTGTGTGTGCGCGTGTGCGTGTGTGTGTGTAGCTCTCTGGTTGTAGAGAGGCAGCCCTGCATGCCCACCCACCCACAGAGACCCTTGGTGCTGAAAACAGGCGTCCAGTTCACAGTGAAGCTACGGTAAGAATCTAAAATCAACAACAAACTATTTCTCTGATGTCTCTTCCTCCTCTCCATCTTCTGCCAACGCTTCCTTGGTGTTTCAGGTTCCTGGTGAAGCTGCAGGAGTTTAACTACCAGCTCAAAGTCAAGGCGATGTTTGACAAGTAAGCTGCGTTCAAGAATTTATATAAATTGCTTAAAAAAGTGGTATAATAATAATAATACGTGATCTCTTTCTGTTTCTCAGAGATGTTACAGAGAAGAAAGGGTGAGTCTCAAAACCATTTACGCGCATATCAGAATATATTCTCCGATACATATTTCACATATTCTCTCAGACTCATAATTATTGACTTGTTGGTGTTGAGTCAGGTTTCGGAAGTTCAATATTTTGGGAACGAACACCAAGGTGATGAACATGGAGGAGTCGAATGGCAGCCTGGCAGCGGAGTTCAGACATCTGGTAAAGAGTCATAGATTTGTACTTAATGTAAATAGAATAATAAGTGGCGTGTGGTTCGTTAATATTGCAGCTAGTGGATTCATATTTTCTGGTATGATTATAAAAGTGGGTAATGTAGGTTAAGACTACATTTTGTGAGTGCTTTGGTAAGGGGAGAAAACAGTTTTAAAACGTCTTGTACTTCTTCACGCAGCAACTGAAAGAGCAGAAAGTTGCCGGCAACCGAACGAACGAGGTAAGAGAAACAATATCAAGAGAAATGAAGTATTAAAGGTTTTGGATTTAAAGGTTTTCTGTCAGTGTGTGTGGGAGCTTGATATGTGTGTGTGTGTGTGTGTGTGTGTGTGTGTGTGTGTTCAGGGTCCCCTGATCGTCACAGAGGAGCTTCACTCGCTCAGCTTCGAGTCCGAGCTGCAGCTCAACCAGTCGGGACTCAACATCAAACTCGAGGTGAGACTAGAAGAAAGATCCTTACAGTTCATCAGTTCATGTTGAGTTTGGAAAGTGTGTTCATGATTAATTCCTGTTGTGTGTGTGTGTGGTGTTGTTGTTGTTGTTGTTGCTGTTGTTGCTGTTGTAGGCGATGTCTCTGCCTGTTGTGGTCATCTCTAACGTCTGTCAGCTGCCTGCTGGCTGGGCCTCCATCCTCTGGTACAACATGCTGACCACTGAGCCCAAGGTTAGCACACACACACACACACACACACACACACACACACACACACACACACACACACACACACACACACACACACACACACACACACACACACACACACATATTTATCATGATAAAACATCAGAGCGTAAAAGCTCCAGTAAAAGACCCCTATATTTGACATGCGCTCAGTTCTTCATCAAGTCTCCTCCTCTCCTCTTCCTCAGAATCTGAAGTTCTTCCTCACCCCTCCTGCGGCGAAGTGGTCTCAGCTGTCGGAGGTCCTGAGCTGGCAGTTCTCCTCCGTCACGCAGCGAGGCCTGAACCAGGAGCAGCTCAACATGCTGGCCGACAAGCTGCTCGGTAGGAACCAAAGCGAACAGCGAACTATCTAAACTAGACAATATGTAAACAGTTTAGAAATATGTCCAAACAAGAACACCTCCGACACCTGCAGAACCTTTCACACTTTACAGAGTTCAGCAGACCTCAACGGAGGCCTTTGGCGTTGAGGAATGTGTGAAAGAAACAAGCATTTTAGAAATATGTTATACATTTGTAAAATAATTTGAAAAATATTTGCCAAAATGTGTAAAAATATATAAGATTTAGATGAAAATATGCAAAAATGACAGAAATTCGACAAATCTCCAATGAAGACACTCTCCTGCCAAATAAATACCTTAAAAAAAAAAAGAATAATCTCTGCTAAAAATATGTAGAAATATATGTGACAAAAATGTGTGAAATGTTAGAAAGATTTGATTATTTTTAATATGAATTGTAAATGTTTTTCTGCAGGATCTAAAACCCAGAGGAACCCAGACGGACAAATCCCCTGGGGCAAATTCTGCAAGGTGAGCCACGGTCATTTCAAATAACGACTTCTCACTGCAATCTCCCAAAGAAAGGCAGTTTTGGTATAAAAGTAATTCAATCAGGAGAGACGGGTTTGATGAAAGAACACATATTATTGCCAGGAATACCCAAATGAATGTAATGGAGTTTTTGTGATTAGGCCCCGTTGTGCGGGAGTATCATTCGGGAGGGGAGAACCGATCGGATGAAACCCCCCGGGGTCTAGACCCTGGTGGTAATGAATGGATAGTTGGGTTCGGTCTGAAGGGGAGTGGCTTAGCTTGACCCTGGTGGTGGTGAATGGATAGTTGGGTTCGGTCTGAAGGGGAGGGGCTTAGCTTGACCCTGGTGGTGGTGAATGGATGGTTGGGGTCGGTCTGAAGGGGAGTGGCTTAGCTTGACCCTGGTGGTGGTGAATGGATAGTTGGGTTCGGTCTGAAGGGGAGGGGCTTAGCTTGACCCTGGTGGTGGTGAATGGATAGTTGGGTTCGGTCTGAAGGGGAGGGGCTTAGCTTGACCCTGGTGGTGGTGAATGGATAGTTGGGTTCGGTCTGAAGTTGAGTGGCTTAGCTTGACCCTGGTGGTGGTGAATGGATAATTGGGTTCGGTCTGAAGGGGAGGGGCTTAGCTTGACCCTGGTGGTGGTGAATGGATAGTTGGGTTCGGTCTGAAGGGGAGGGGCTTAGCTTGACCCTGGTGGTGGTGAATGGATAGTTGGGTTCGGTCTGAAGGGGAGGGGCTTAGCTTGACCCTGGTGGTGGTGGTGAATGGATAGTTGGGTTCGGTCTGAAGTTGAGTGGCTTAGCTTGACCCTGGTGGTGGTGAATGGATAATTGGGTTCGGTCTGAAGGGGAGGGGCTTAGCTTGACCCTGGTGGTGGTGAATGGATGGTTGGGTTCGGTCTGAAGTTGAGTGGCTTAGCTTGACCCTGGTGGTGGTGAATGGATGGTTGGGTTCGGTCTGAAGGGGAGGGGCTTAGCTTGACCCTGGTGGTGGTGAATGGATAGTTGGGGTCGGTCTGAAGGGGAGGGGCTTAGCTTGACCCTGGTGGTGGTGAATGGATAGTTGGGGTCGGTCTGAAGTTGAGTGGCTTAGCTTGACCCTGGTGGTGGTGAATGGATGGTTGGGTTTGGTCTGAAGGGGAGGGGCTTAGCTTGACCCTGGTGGTGGTGAATGGATGGTTGGGTTTGGTCTGAAGGGGAGGGGCTTAGCTTGACCCTGGTGGTGGTGAATGGATAGTTGGGGTCGGTCTGAAGGGGAGGGGCTTAGCTTGACCCTGGTGGTGGTGAATGGATGGTTGGGTTCGGTCTGAAGGGGAGGGGCTTAGCTTGACCCTGGTGGTGGTGAATGGATAGTTGGGGTCGGTCTGAAGGGGAGTGGCTTAGCTTGACCCTGGTGGTGGTGAATGGATAGTTGGGGTCGGTCTGAAGGGGAGTGGCTTAGCTTGACCCTGGTGGTGGTGAATGGATAGTTGGGGTTGGTCTGAAGGGGAGTGGCTTAGCTTGACCCTGGTGATGGTGAATGGATGGTTGGGTTCGGTCTGAACGGGAGTGGCTTAGCTTGACCCTGGTGGTGGTGAATGGATGGTTGGGGTCGGTCTGAAGGGGAGGGGCTTAGCTTGACCCTGGTGGTGGTGAATGAATAGTTGGGGTCGGTCTGAAGGGGAGTGGCTTAGCTTGACCCTGGTGGTGGTGAATGGATGGTTGGGGTCGGTCTGAAGGGGAGTGGCTTAGCTTGACCCTGGTGGTGGTGAATGAATAGTTGGGTTCGGTCTGAAGGGGAGGGGCTTAGCTTGACCCTGGTGGTGGTGAATGGATGGTTGGGGTCGGTCTGAAGGGGAGTGGCTTAGCTTGACCCTGGTGGTGGTGAATGGATAGTTGGGGTCGGTCTGAAGGGGAGTGGCTTAGCTTGACCCTGGTGGTGGTGAATGGATAGTTGGGGTCGGTCTGAAGGGGAGTGGCTTAGCTTGACCCTGGTGGTGGTGAATGGATGGTTGGGTTCGGTCTGAAGGGGAGTGGCTTAGCTTGACCCTGGTGGTGGTGGTGAATGGATGGTTCGGTCTGAAGGGGCGTGGCTTAGCTTGACCCTGGTGGTGGTGAATGGATAGTTGGGTTCGGTCTGAAGGGGAGTGGCTTAGCTTGACCCTGGTGGTGGTGAATGGATAGTTGGGTTCGGTCTGAAGGGGAGTGGCTTAGCTTGACACTGGTGGTGGTGAATGGATAGTTGGGTTTGGTCTGAAGGGGAGGGGCTTAGCTTGACCCTGGTAGTGGTGAATGGATAGTTGGGGTCGGTCTGAAGGGGAGTGGCTTAGCTTGACCCTGGTGGTGGTGAATGGATAGTTGGGTTCGGTCTGAAGGGGAGGGGCTTAGCTTGACCCTGGTGGTGGTGAATGGATAGTTGGGTTTGGTCTGAAGGGGAGGGGCTTAGCTTGACCCTGGTAGTGGTGAATGGATAGTTGGGGTCGGTCTGAAGGGGAGTGGCTTAGCTTGACCCTGGTGGTGGTGAATGGATAGTTGGGTTCGGTCTGAAGGGGAGGGGCTTAGCTTGACCCTGGTGGTGGTGAATGGATAGTTGGGTTCGGTCTGAAGGGGAGGGGCTTAGCTTGACCCTGGATTCAGAGGGACAGGAGGTGAAAAGGGGTGGAGGAGGGTTGCGTCGAGTCACCTGAAATGACAGCTATCAGAGGGGAGAGCAGATTTAAAAAGGGTTAGCAGAGCGTTATGATAGGCTTGTGAGAATAGAGCGAAGTGATTGGTTAAGCTGGGGAGTGACGCCCCGATCACTTATTGAGAGGAGAGAGGGTAGTAACATGGACATAGTGAATTAATGAGTAAAGACGGTCTTCCTGGTTGAACTTGCGCTGAGCTTCATTTGTTGAAATGCATGCAGAAATATATGAAATTGTGTTAAAAAGACATGTTGCAACTCGTGGTGTTTCCCTGCTGGATGCATTACTTTTGCTAAACTAAACGCCTGTTCTCCTGTCCAGCAGCAGAGTGCCAATGAGAAGGCTTTTCCCTTCTGGCTGTGGATCGAGGGGATCCTGGATCTGATTAAAAGACACCTGCTCAGTCTCTGGAACGACGGGTGAGTACTACTTTGAGACAGACACATTTATGCATATTCACACATTAAGACATCAATAAAAGCACAACAATCAACAGTCACTTCAATAACTTTGAGAAATGTGCATTAGTGCAAGACTGTCTATAGCAGCGTGAAAAGTGTCTGGTGCGTGACTGCTGCTAAATGAACTTGGTTATATGTTTCTTCATATGTTTTGTTCTGTGTGTTTGCAGCTGCATCCTGGGCTTCATCTGTAAAGAGCGGGAGAAAGCTCTGCTGACTGATAAATGTCCCGGGACCTTCCTGCTGCGCTTCAGTGAGAGCAGCAAGGAGGGAGCCATCACCTTCACCTGGATCGAGCACGACGTCCACGGTGAGCACACGTGTTGAATGTTTGTAGTGTCCAGATGCATGTTGTTATTACTTATTATCAGAGATGGCAAAAGTACACACGTCCTTTACTCAAGTAGAAGTACAGATACTCGTGTTTAAAAATACTCTGGTGAAAGTAGAAGTACTGACTAAACTTCTAAAAAGAAAGGAGGGCTTTGAAATGTACTTCAGTAAAAAGTACCCATAACTAGCAGCTGTTTTAAAGAGTACCTGACCTCCCTTTATATTAATAGAACAATAATGTCATTGTTAGCTCATGAATGTTTCCATGCTGAACAACGGCAACATGACAACGTTTTCATTGGTCCCTCTTCTTTAGAGAAGACCAGGAAATGATGGATACACGGATCGTGTTCAAATCAATAGGCACGCAATGACTCTAAATAATTGTTATACATTAAGTTTTGCATACCATGAACGTAACACATTAAAATGAAATGTTAGCTTCTTCCTCATGGTCCGTGTTTCTGAACGCAGACAAGCCGCTCTTCCACTCGGTGGAGCCGTACACGAAGAAGGAGCTGTCGGCCGTCTCTCTGTCCGATATCATCCGAACGTACAAAGTAATGGCCGCCGAGAACATCCCGGAAAACCCGCTGCGCTTCCTCTACCCGAACATCCCCAAAGACAAGGCCTTTGGGAAGTACTACCCCAAACCCACGGAGGGTAAGAAGTCACTAAAGCCTATTTCTTTCACTTCTCTTTGCACGACTGAACACCTGGAGCCAAGTGCATACTAAAGCTGGTGCACTCATGCATTTCTGAACCCATTGTCTTTCCCTTTTCACACGTTTTAATCTGTGTGTTACTGCCTTCCAGCTGCAGAGCCCATGGACGTAGAGAACTGTCCACCGAAGAGTGGCTACATGAAGACGGAGCTCATATCTGTCTCAGAAGTGTAAGCAGTGTTAAAAACAATAACATGATGTATTGAATTATTAACAGATGAAATACTAAGTCTCTGTCCACGTTCTCCTGTGCAGACATCCGTCCAAACTGCACGACAACATGATGCCGATGTCTCCGGACGACTACAAGGCTTTATCGCAGTACGTCAGTCCCCGAGACATCGATGCTGCGGTGAGTTGGCATTTTAATGAAAGACAAAATCAATACAAATCTATAACTGAAAAGGTAATACACAAGTAGAGTCATCAGTTGTCGCAGTAAGTAAAGTAGAACACACACTGAGAACGTTAAAATCCAATTAGGAGTGTCAAGGTTTCTGTCTTCTGTCAATGTCTGCTGTAATCTACAACGGCGTAAAAGGGTTAAAGTGGACCTATCATGCTATATTTGAATAATATAGTGTAGGACCATACCTATATAAGGCATATTTCAAAATACCAAAACAGATCATGCATTTTAGCCATGCCTCATTTCCCTCAATTTGACATTTTTTAGCTCTGCTCTGCAAGGGTTGATTCTGTGAGAACAGCACCACCTACAGGCCTGGCATATGTACTACAGCGTCTCCAGCGCTTTCGAACGGCAATGGCCGTGGCTGTCTCCTCCTGATTGGTGGAGTTGGCCCAATAGCCGTAGCGCCACCGTCCTGACGTCAGGACAGTGTTCAAATCTGGATCAGTTTTTATCAGATCCGTTGCAGCCCCTTTTTTAGAGATTTGGATATGGAGGAAAATAGAGAGGGTTGTGTTTTCTGACACTTGGTGAGTTCCCTGGAACACCGGGGACACATATTCATGTAGAAAAGACGTACAAAAGTGCATTTTGCATGATAGGTCCCCTTTAAAGAAATATAAATTATTAATATTTAGACCCTAATATGCCGTTGTAGTGATCAGATCTGTCTTCTTTAAGTCTTGTCTGTTTGTCCTGTTGCTTTCAGACCTACAATCTGATTGATGGATTTGAAGAGTTTGACGTTCAGGTAGATCTGATCTGTTGCTCTTCACGTATTCACCGCTGCTGCTAAATGTGCTTTACCCCTCTTAATTAAACATATGAATGTATTAAATCCCTCTCTTCTTTTCTCTCCAGATGAGCGCAGACTTTCCAAACCAGAACTGATGAGGGCGTCTTCACAAAAACACTCTAAGAGGTGTTGGAAAAACATGGAGACAAGAGCCCCCTTTGGACGGGATTAGGATAATTTAAAATATGGCCTATGATCAAGAATTAACATCTTCAGGTTTTATCATCCAAATAATCAGATGACTGTTTATATATCCAATCAAGACATTATCTGTCACTTTATTGTACATACATATTTCTTATTATTGTGAAACTCCCTATAGTATCTGTTAAACAGTCAAATGTACGAATGTGATGCCTTTATTGTTCTGTGAGTGAAAACATCTGTGGAGTTTTACTGTAGCACTTAACGCCGCTCAATGTATCTTGCTTTAACTAGGAATTAGTTTTAAATGTCTATGTAGATGGGGCTGATATTTCATCATTAAACCTGCCTGCGTGAATACAAGAAGACAATGTGTGTGTTTGTTATTAACGAGATTATTTTAATGAACTTCTACACTAAAGACACACTTGTCCTTTCACAGATACCATTTCCTAAAAGTCAAAGTCTGGTGGTCAATGTTTTTAAATTACATTACATTACATGTCATTTGTTAGACGCTTTTATCCAAAGCGACTTACATGCATTCAGTACTGTGGACAAACCCCACAGGAGCAATTTGGGGTGAAGTGTCTTGCCCAGGGACACAACAACATGCTGACTGCAGTGGGACTCGAACTTGCTATCCCCTGATTTGAAGTCCATCACACTATCCACTGAGCCACAGGGTTATGTATTCAAAATGGCATTTAAAGGGTTAGAATCCTGAAAAGTATTCAATATTTGGTATTTTTGATTAGGGCTTTAAAGATTGAACCCAAAAAAGTGGTGAAAGAAACCTTTTAATATAATGTTTTTATCAAAGTATTTTGCAGTGGACATTTTTGTCCCGAATGACTAATTTGCGTAGTCCAATACCGGAGGGTTAAAAGCTTTCTTCTACTTTCTAAAACCTGTGTGAGTAAGCAGAGGTTTACGAGGTGCACCTGAAGGCACCATGCATCCCGATGACGCAGCACGTCGCCGCTAGGGGGCGTGATGACATCACTGCGTGAGTTGAAGTGTTGTGAAGGTGAAGAGAACAGATGGAGATGTCAGGGAGCTTTTTGTGTTGGGAGGAGGCTGCTTTTAAATGGTCTAACGGGGGTAAAACTTCCCAGAAAAGCTTCTCAGGACGAAAAACGGTTCAAGTTATTGATTTAAAACTCGGAACAATCAATTAGGGCGAAGCTCGTGCCACCTGTTGGAGTTGCACGCGGAGAAAATACGTCGTTTGCGTTTTGTTCTGGAGCGAATTAGCATTTTTAAGTAAGTAAAACGTCTTTTAAATCCATCAAATGTTACATTATCTTTTAGGAGTTGTATTTTTGCAGCTTCTTAGTGAGTTGGCTCATTTATAAGTCGCTTTTTCTGCTTTAACTTTAACATTTTGCTTGATATGTGCATTACGTTTTTGGTGTTTTGTCAAGACATGTTTAGCCTGTGACATAAAACTGAGAAATATTACAATTTAATTGATAAAAGTTGTCTATTTCTTCAAAAAAGGTGCACAATAGGTGTTTTACTTACGAAATACGTCTTTATTAATCAATTAAAGCCTAAAATTGAGCCTAAATTAATCAAAAACGAATCATATTTGACTTTTATCATCAAATATCTTATTTAATGTAGTCGACAGGTGTCTCCAACTAATGCTAGATTTCATTATCAATTTATCTTCCAACTATTTTATCGATAAATAATTGTTTTGTGTATTAAAAATCAGGAAATAGTTAACGTTGACATGTTTCAATTGCTTATTATCTCCAAATAAGAGTAAAAACCTGAAGATACCACCTTTTATTTTCCTTTTCCAACAAGAAAGAAGCAAATATTCATGTTTGAGAAGCTAAAACAAAGCTTGAATTCAATTATTTATCATTATAGTTTGACTTTTCTGACAATTTCACTTATAATTTGGATTATTTGTCTCTGTATCACGACATTGTTCTGGCAGTCAGAGCTCCTGCTGTATTGCTAATGTTCCTGGGGGAAGTCGTATATTAGTAAAGCATTCGTATACATTAAATTGTAATATAATAATGAATGTTTTGGGTATATAAATGCAGAATCATCTCAGGGTGACAGATGTTGATGGAGCCCTCTGAACGCGAGGAATGGACGCCGTGGACTACAGAGACGACCTGAGAGTTTCTGCAGGGAGGATGAGGTGGTGGAGGGAGGTGGAGATGTGGAGAAAAGAGGATGAGGAGGAGGAAGAAGAGCTGGTGGAGGTGCTTCTCCGAGGAAAAGCACCCTGGGGCTTCACCCTGAGAGGAGGCACGGAGCGCAGGGAGCCTCTGGTTATCACAAAGGTAAGAAATGGTCATCGTTCTTGGCACAGGCATGGTAAAATGTCCAACAATATGCAGCCCTGTGTTTGTACAGTTATTTAAAGCATAATTTCATCACTGTCAGATGGGCTGAATATCCAAGGATGATGAGTTCACTGTAGTATATGACAAAGTGAAGCATATGACCCTCAAATGATAGAAGGTAAAACCATCAAAACATGGTGCTAATTGGTGCCAAATACACAGTTTTACAGACGGAAAAGGTCCCGAAATGCAAAAAAAACAAACGTACCGAATAGTTTTCTACATATAATCATTAAGATGTTCTCAAAATAGCTTGAGTACAAGTATTAATTGTGAAGTAGCGGGTGTTATATAATGTAACTGGATGCTGCATTTGTTAAGTCTTACCGCTGTGGATGTATTTAACAGCTACTGTTTGGGAGTTTAATCTGCAGCAATTAGACCTACGGTGCAGAAGTCAAGGCATTTCATTAGAGAAATACTGACACTTGAATGCATCGTCAGAAGCAATATTTCATCCTGCATGTCTCCTTTCAAACTCCATCACTGATGTGCGAGGTTTTACACTTCAGGGTGAAATGTGTCTTTCCACAAATTATCTTTTAGGAGTTGTATTTTTGCAACTTCTTAGTGAGTCAAGTGGCTTTTTCTGCTTTAACTTTCACATTTATTTGCTTGATATGTGCATTACGGTTTTGGTGTTTTGTCATGACATGTTTAGCCTGTGACCTAAAACTAAGACATATTATGATTTAATTGATAAAAGTTATTCAAAAAGGGTGCAAAATGTGTTTTACTTAATAAAGATATCTTCATTAATCAATTAAAGCCTTACATTGAGCCCAAATGTATCAAAAACTAATCAAATGTGACTTCTATCATCCAATATCTTATTTTATGTAGTCGACAGGTGTCTCCAACATTTGCTTGTTTTCATTTTCAATTTATCTTCCAACTATTTTCTTGATAAATAATTGTTTTGTGTATTAAAAGTCAGGAAATAGTTAAAGTTGACATATTTAAATTGCTTATTATCTCCAAATAAGAGTAAAAACCTAAAGATATCACCTTTTTATTTTCCTTTTCAACCAAGAAAGAAGCAAATATTCATTTTTGAGAAGCGAAAACAAAGCTTTTCACCTGTGTGTTGCCTGCAGTTCACATGGAGCAGTGCACGGTCTCAGGTCACCGGGGTGCAGGATTTAATATTTAATCAGAGCACTCAGGTTGCCGGCCACCACATGAGGATGAAATACTATCCTGAGTGAAACTTCCCCCTTAAAAGATGGCAGAGGAAGTAAATACAAAGTGTTGATGCACCTCACCTTCCCAGAAACATATGAACCCTTTTTTTAATGGCAGGTTTTAATGTATTTTGACTGTGTGTGTGTGTGTGTGTGTGTGTGTGTGTGTGTGTGTGTGTGTGTGTGTGGTGTGTGTGTGTGTGTGTGTGTGTGTGTGTGTTGTGTGTGTGTGTGTGTGTGTGATGTGTGTGTGTGTGTGTGTGTGTGTGTGTGTGTGTGTGTGTGTGTGTGTGTGTGTGTGTGTGTGTGTGTGTGTGTGTGTGTGTGTGTGTGTGTGTGTGTGTGTGTGTGTGTGTGTGTGTGTGTGTGTGTGTGTGTGTGTGTGTGTGTGTGGGTGTGTGTGTGTGTGTGTGTGTGTGTGTGTGTGTGTGTGTGTGTGTGTGTGTGTGTGTGTGTGTGTGGTGTGTGTGTGTGTGTGTGTGTGTGTGTGTGTGTGTGTGTGTGTGTGTGTGTGTGTGTGTGTGTGTGTGTGTGTGTGTGTGTGTGTGTGTGTGTGTGTTCAGGTGGAGGAGGGCAGTGCGGCGGCGGCGGTGTGTTTGCAGGTCGGAGATGAGATGGTGAGCGTGAACGCAGTGTCCCTCAGCGGATCCCGTCAAGAGGCCATCTGTCTGGTGAAGAGCTCCCATAAGACCCTCAGTCTGGGCGTCCGAAGGTACGGAAACAGAAGATATCTCAGCTCCTGTAACAATGCAAAAACGTTTATTTAATACCCTTCGTTTCATTTCGAAAGAGGGGCCGAAGAGTGTTTTGTGTCAGTATTATGCATTAGGTGAGAAAAATCTCCCTGGTCCCCGGCTTGAGCTTCAATCTCAGGATCCATGTATCTGTGATCCTCTCCAGAATGGAAGTAGTCATCACATACAGAGCATCAACTAGTTCCTGAACAGTGTCCTTCACATGCTGATATCCAAGAGAGGGAGTTACACAGTCACAAGATGGAGGAATAGAAAGCAGTATTCAATGTTTACTTCAGATTAGCTCCACGTCAGAAATGAGCATGCTTGTCATATGTCTATCTCCATAGAGGCTGAATCATCATGTTAATCACATAGCTATCATATGCCTCAAACAGTCCTGATGCTCTTCTAGGTAATCATACATCCTGCCATGTTCACAGCTACAGTTGGGATACCTTTGTTATCATGCTACTCTCATGTTGGAAGAGGACATTCAGGATTTTCACAACAGAGGTCAAAGCCACAGTTTTGGAGCCCTGCATCTCGTATGAAAGCGGACGAGAAGACGTAGAAATTAGTTGCTCGTGCGCAAAAATGTACCCTAAAAAACGTCACCAACCAGCTCTTGTAACAATGCAAAGACCTGTATTTAATACCTTTCGTTTCATTTAGAAAGAGGGGCTGAAGTTCTTAACTGTCAAATAGTTTTTTGTGTGATTATTTTGGATCATGCTCAGTTTTGGAGCCCTGCGTCTTGTATGAAAGCGGAATATAATATAATGCGTTTGTTATACGGTTACATGCCGCTTTACAGAAGTACTTTGCCCATAAACTACATGTCCCACAATGCATCTTGTTTTGTGACACTGAAGAGACTTGCAATTATTCGCCCTGGACTTCTGCTTTCAGACGTAGTTATTACCCTATCTGATAATAATCCAATGCAGAGGCAATAATGTATTATAATACATCATTTTATATATATGTATATTTATATAGTCTAAAAGTTACAACCGTCCATTTTGAGTGCAACTTTAATGCTAATGTGGCCCGCCGCGATGCAATTGAGTTTGACACCCCTGCATTAGGAGGTCAAAGCCACGGTTTTGGAGCCCTGCGTCTCGTATGAAAGCGGACGAGAAAAAAAGCGTAGAGATGAGTTGCTCGTGCTACCCTAAAAATCTTCCCCAAGCATTAATTGTTCTGGTATTAACGGGGGTCAGCCGAGGCGATGGGCCTCTCGCTGCTTGTTTGCCTCTGAGGGAGAAACAAAAGCAGTATTGTGCAGGCGGTAGAGCTGCGGCAGAGAGTTATTTCAGATAATAATGACTCCTAAATGAGACAGAAAGGAGTTCCCTCTGGCAGATAGTATCATGGTTTATTTCCTCCTCTAGTTAACACCAGTTAATCAGTAATCACAAAAACAATCTAGTTTCAGCTTCATGAGAGTGTTCGTCAGACATGTTGAGGCATTTGTACATGTATAACTTTTAATAATACAAAGATATGGTGCACAACATTATAATAAATGGCTTTTTTTGGTACAGGATGTTATTGTTGATTTAATGTCATTATTAGTTTAGAATATTTTGGCCTTTCTGAGTTCCCAGATAATTGCTTAATGATGGCTTGAGCGCCACCGTGTGGAGGCTTTGAGATCTTTCTGTTTATTGATAGATGTTTTACATAATATAATACTCTTATAACACTTTATTGAAATAGTATCTACTGTTATAATAACAAGGGTTTAATGTTTAGCTAACTAAGGTCGCATTCACACCTAATAGTCTGTTTTCAGGTGCGCACCAGACGACAGTTTGTTACATTTTTCAGAAGGTTTGGTTTGCGTTCACACGGGCAAAACTCAAACTGACTATACACTTTAAACACAAGTCATGTGCACGGAAATGCTGTTCAACCATTGGTCAGACATTAAGGGGGGTAAAAACGCAAATCCCGACAATTTCTATCTTTCGCTAAAGATTTTGAAGACATCCGCGTTCTTGTGACGCGTAAATACTACGCTTCCTATGTTTTGGTGCGGACTGCGTTCACACCAGCGATGAACCGAGTTCACTTGCAAGCGCTCCGAGACCACCTCTTTTAGGCGGACCAGAGTCCGGTTGTTTAGTTCACTTCAGAGGTCTCGGACTGCGTTCACACCGACCCAAACGAACCGCACCAAGCGGGTAAACGCACCAGGGTTCGATTCAACCGGACTATACAAGGCTGGTGTGAATACGCCCTCATAAAACTCTCAGAAATGTATTTTAAATTCTAGTGAAGACATTTTAGGGAATGCAGAAATATTTCTTTAAGAGTTGAACAACAATATTTAAACATATCAAGTCAAACATTTACTGGTAAACTAATGATTGAACATCCAAACTGCAAAGAGAGTTGATCCGAGTTATCTGCTGTTGTCAACATTACCTCACTGTTTAGTTAGCTATCATTGCTCAAATCGTACAAATGTTCATTTTAAATTCAGTTAAAAACAGGAAGACCGGTTAGGAAATGTGAATAAAATATGACAGAATAATGTTTAATCACTCAAGCTTTGTAAAACAAATGAATGTTAATGTATCTAGGCCTATCTGCAGGGATAGCCTCATTTTACTCCATGTGTGTATTCAGTGTCCTGTCCTGTCAGAATTACATGCTCAGTGGCAACAGAGTCTTAAAGCTTGAATCCAATTACTAGTTGCAAAGCCACAGGCGTGTGCTCAGCTTTGCAGAGCGGGTTGATTTAAAAAAAGAGGGGACGGTGGATCAAACCGTGTGTTCAGAAAACGACTTCTGCTGAGAAATATTTGATTCAAACGGTTGTAGAGATGAAACTCAGAGTTAATGTTCAGGCAGGGGATTTAAAAACAAGCGTAGAGATTTGTGACGGCACTCGGAGAAACTTAAGTCGGGCCATTGTCCCCTGTTTGCACGAGGAGTGGTACGGTCCATGTTGCCTAGGTGAGTTGACACTGCTTAGTGGGATAGGCCATATCAGCAGAGCCCATTGTTTTCAGGGGCTTTCGTTACTCCAGCACGCAGAGTGGGTTATCTGCTTTTCCCTGGACATGTTTGGCTTTTAGAAGATAAAAGACAACATTTCAAGGTACCTCCTCTTTCCGTCTTTGTATTGTACTCTGTGTATTTCCTCTGATTCAATCATTTTGTTCCTGATAAGTGGGATTAAATCAGGAAGCAGGGAATGAGTTTGAGATAACGGACGTTTTTTTTTCATCTGGATGACTCATTAAAACGGTTAGTTGTGAATTTCCCTAAAAGTCAGCTGTAAATTAAGTTTTATTTTAAGGATGGATGACAGGTAAACTGATAATTACGTCTTTGTAACTGACCAGAGTGGATTCACGAGGCAAATTATGTGTTTTAAATAACAGTTACAGCTCTTAAACCTGTAGATAATAAGTATTTTCAGACGTCTTGTGTCCATGAGCAACAAGTGATATTTCACCCTGTACTCAATAACATACATTAGCCGCAGTTTAAATGCAATATAACCAGCATTTGTTTACCTAAAACAGAGAGAAATGATCTATTTATAGACTAGAAAGCAGGTAGAGGATGTCTTAAATCTTATAATGATTCAAGATCTGTGTCAAAATGCACTTTAGGGTCATGGGATGTCTTTCATCTTTCAAGTACATTCAGAAATTCATGCAATAATAGGCCTTTTTTTTTACTTTTCACTATCTCACAAAGCATTTTAATATGCTCAAATATGCACTAAGATCTAATCATTACTTCAAAAACACACCTGGTCTTTAAACAAGACTCCATTAGGGTTTAAAGTAATATTATGAGGGGATTATTTAGCATACATATTCACATCTTTAGTCTTTTAGTTATCCCCCACTTCTACATTTTTACTTTGTACTTGACTTCGTGGACAAGCCTAGCATTTTCACCGAAAACCAGCGCTTTAAAAACTTTAATTTGAATTATTTTAGCTTTTGCTGAGTGCATCTCTGTGCTACATATTAACAGCTGGTTGTATTAGCAATCAGTGAACACATATATGAGGTTAATAGAGTCTAATTGAATAGGTTGACTTACAAACACATATTTTATCATTTATTTATTTTTTAGGCAGAAAATGCACTTGTTCCAGCGTCTCAAAATGGAATATTTGCATTTTTTCTTCATGTTTTTATGATAAATATCTGACTTTAGACTGTTGTACAAAGAAAGTAGCTGTGATACATTAATTTGGACATTAAATTCCGCCTTTTTACATTTGCTAATGAACATTTTAGCAAAGTTAAGCTTTAGTTTTTTGCAGAATATTGTGGAAAAGTAGGCATTTGTATTAAAAAAAACATCCAATTTTTGGCTGTATCAGTCCAGATGCTTTATCAGTTCAGATGTGCATGTTGTCAAAGTTTGTCCTTTCCTCTCAGGGACATTGTATTCCCCCCCCCCCACTACGTTGTATTTGTGTTGCCGGTGCAGGCAGTGACACACCGATAAGCCCAGCTGTGATGACGCTGGCACTTTCTATTGTTCGTGTTTAGAGCTCAGAGTTCTTCCCCCACTGCCTGCTGCTTTCCACTTTCAAATATCTCCCACTAAGAAGATACTCCCTGTTGTTGTTCCTGTTGAGAGATCCTCAATCCTCTGTGGATCTGGTGTTTTTATACCTGGTTTAATGATCCATGTTCAAGGGGTAATATAAAACATCTTGACTCGTAAATTAGGCCGTAACTTAAACTCCTAATAGGTTGCAGCCTCTCCTCCTTTCCAGACGTCTTGTGTCCATGAGCAACAAGTGATATTTCACCCCGTGCTCAATAACATACATTAGCAGCAGTTTAAATGCAATATAACCAGCATTTGTTTACCTAAAACAGAGAGAAATGATCTATTTTATAGACTAGAAAGCAGGTAGAGGATGTCTTACATCTTATAATGATTCAAGATCTGTGTCAAAATGCACTTTAGGGTCATGGGATGTCTT